TTTAGAGCATTTTGAAATCTTTAAAAAGAGTAGGTCGTATCTTGGCAATTTGAAAAAGTCTTTTATTTTGGGAAGGCATAATCAGAATGACTTGATATTGATATGGTATCACTGTGGGGCTGTATACTGTTGATCTAAGGTGGAATTACCCTGTGGAAACAGGAAATTTCCATTTTAGAGCATTTTGAAATCACTGAAAGTTAGGTCAATTGTGGACAATTTGAAAAGGCTTTTACTTTGGAAGGCAAAATCAGAATGACTTGACATTGATATGGTATCACTGTGGGGCTGTATACTGTTGATCTAAGGTGGAATTACCCTGTGGAAACAGGAAATTTCCATTTTAGAGCATTTTGAAATCACTGAAAGTTAGGTCAATTATGGACAATTTAAAAAGGCTTTTATTTTGGAAGGCATAATCAGAATGACTTGATATTGATATGGTATCACTGTGGGGCTGTATACTGTTGATCTAAGGTGGAATTACCTGTGGAAACAGGAAATTTCCATTTTAGAGCATTTTGAAATCACTGAAAGTTAGGTCAATTATGGACAATTTGAAAAGGCTTTTATTTTTGAGAGCAAAATCAGAATGACTTGATATTGATATGGTATCACTGTGGGGCTGTATACTGTTGATCTAAAGTGGAATTACCCTGTGGAAACAGGAATGTGCCATTTTAGAGCATTTTGAAATTGTTCCAGGAGCAACTCAGATATGGGCAGTTTGAAAATGCTTTTATTTTTTAAAGCAATATCAGAATGTTTTGATATTGATATGGTAACATCGTGAGGTTGTATACTGTTGATCTGGAGTGGAATTACCCTGTGGAAACAGGAAATTTCCATTTTAAAACATTTTGAAATCACTGAAAGTTAGGTCAATTATGGACAATTTAAAAAGTCTTTTATTTTGGAAGGCATAATCAGAATGACTTGATATTGATATGGTATCACTGTGGGGCTGTATACTGTTGATCTAAGGTGGAATTACCCTGTGGAAACAAGAATTTTTCATTTTAGAGCATTTTGAATCGTTAGAAGATTAAGTCAATTATGGACAATTTCAAAGGGCCATTACTATGAAAGGCAAAATCAGACTGACTTGATATTGATATGGTATCACTGTAAAAAGACTGTGGTTGGAAAGTGTTGATATAAAGTTCTAATAGTATTTGGAAATACGACTTTTGCTTTTAAGAGCATTATTAAGTCATTGAAAGAGTAGTTCAAAAATGAAGATTCACAGGGCTTTTACTTTGAAATCCAAAATAAGATGGCCTTGATAGTGACAGGGCACAAAAAAAAAAAAAAGCCTAAATTATATGTTATTATGTTCTTAACATATCTGTTAATTCACTCGAAGTTGGCTTTTATTTTGAAATCCGGTTTCCACATCCATTCCCGTAATACTTTGAATACACAGGGAACGTAAAACAAACTGGAGGCTGGCTTGACTGCAAGTCTCGAATTGGAGGCTGGCTTGACACCAGTCTTTCACCGAAGGTTTTGATGGGAGAGCCATTAGCCGCTGTTAGCAATGGCCCGCAACCCTCAGCTAGCCTGTCCGAGCCAGCCGGGGGAAGAAGGCTCTTCTGTGAGCCGGAGTCCACCAGGAAACGCCTCCCGAGCGTGAGTCCTCTAAGAAAGCAGCCTTTCCTTGTTGCCAGCGGTCGCGGCTGCTACAGAGCGCTGACATGCCCGTTTCCCTGGGTCTGGAAACTGCAAGGCGGGAGGCAGCGCCGTGCCTTCGCTCCAAAACGCTGGTGATAAAAACAAAGCCCCTTTCCGCGGTGCCGCCGTGCAGCGATTCCGGCCACAGTGGACGAGTCGGAGGGCCCGTGGAGCATCGGGGAGGGGGAAAACGCTGGTGGGTCCTGAATAACCGTCTGGACGCCGAAAGTCCTGGTAGCCAGGAGGATGCGATCCGCCTCTTCCGCAAGGGAGCGTAATCTTCGTGGCCAATAGCGGGGAGTTGGCAAGGCCAGCGCGCACTGGAGCCGGCAGCTGTCGAAGAAAAGAGGTGGGTGAAGAGAAATCCTCCGTCCTCCGCGCCCAGCAAGGACAGCATGCTCTCCATGAGCTCGAGGGCGGTGCCGTCGCCCAGGCCCGCGATGGAAAGGAGTTTCTCGGCCCGCTCAGCATCAGAGAGGGAGTAACGCCGCAGCAGCAGCCCCTTGAGGGCGGCGTACTTGCCCTGGGCTGGGGGATCCCGGAGGAGAGTCATCACACGGCGGGTTGACAGCGGGTCAAGTGAGGCCACCACATGGTGGTATTTAGTGTCGTCGGCTGAAACTCCACGAAGAGCAAACTGAGCTTCTACGTGCATGAACCATGAGGGAGGATCGTGAAGCCAAAAATCCGGCAATTTAAGCGCCACAGCAAACGCAGCCATCGGCGGAGGTGAAGGTCGGCGGCCGCCGATGCTTCCAGGCCAGAGCTGGCTTCGTCGTCGAGCCTTAGCATGTTCACTACAGGGGTCACCAATGTGGAGGTATGTAACAACGACAGGAGAGCTCTCAGTGTCTCACTCCAACAACTTTATTAACTGACAGAACTTCACATATAGTCAGCGCCAAAATCTCCACCCCCACACTTCCTTTCAACTTGTGTGTGAGTGGAGCCACCTGGTGGTCCGCCACAATAAAATCTTTAATCCCTATACATATTATTTCCCTCTGTAACACATCATCATTATCAGTTTTAGACAGAACAGACAGATTGGGTATTTTGGTCAGGTCACAATTAAATTAATAAAAATAATCGATAAATAATACAAAAATCTTCCTCACAATCACATAAGAAAGTTCTACATATTGAATACAACAATGTAACAGGACAGTTAAACCATTTTTATCTGTACAAATAGATGTTCACTTTTGTTTTTCCACATATTTCACATACTTTATGATATACTGCACTTTTGGCCAACATTACAGAAAAGCAGAGGGTTACAGGTTTAACCCCAGTTCTCTGAGTCTTTAAAGGTTCATGAGCGTGAGGATGTTCATCTCCAAACCCAGGTCAAATAATATTTGGAGCAGCTTTTATGTTGTTTGGAGTAGTGGTTTTATTTAACTGGTAAATAGAATTTGTCCCAGGTGTGATCCTCAGCTTCAGCAAGTTTCTTTTTCTCTTGCATTCAAGATGATGCTGGCGGACGATATTTATGTTATAAAGCCAACACACTGCACACTTTTACTGCAGAGAAAAATGAAATCAGTTGACGTGAACAAACACTCGAGTAAACAACAATGTCAGGGCTAGGTTTTTTTCTTTCTTTTGTTTAAAAAGCACCTTTTGACTAAGCCTTGGGAACCCATTAGCTAGTCTGTAGACTTGGGCTTTGCCATTTCTGCCAGAAGCTAAGACAATTTGTTTCACATCCTGATCATTGTTTACAAAAAAACCTATCAATTAAAACGCAAAATCTTCCTTAGAAAGAATCCAATTTAGTATACTCAAAGCAACAAGACTTACTTTTGATCCTTGATGGTTGTTCACACTTGGCGATGATTTCCAGAATTTAACATTGTGGTTAACACACCGAGTCTCAGTAAGGTCATAGCTATATCAGAGAATTGTCTTAAATATACACAAGAACTGCCACTCTGTGGACTTCCAGTTTGATAGGGGTTCTATGAGATAGTCCTGGATAACTGGGGAGTTCCCAGTTTAATCTGATTTAATCTTTCTGGGATTTCAAGCATGCAAACTCTTCTCTAAGGATTTCTGGCTCTTACTGTAGATTGTAGAAGTCTATGCAACCTCAGTAAACATTTTCCCAACGAGTTCATGGTCTCAGTCGCTACTTTCAAGTGTTACTGAATACAGCATAGTGTTTATTTTGCAAATTGTGGTCCCTGTTAATGTCAAAAAGGATGAAAGGCTGATAAAGCAAGGTATGGGAGTGGGTGCGGTAGATCCACTCCTCGTTTGACACATTTAGCCAGAAGACACTCAGCTCGAAGGGACTTCACTGAGGGGGGTGGGTAAGGTAACGGTGGCTACGTCCATCTTTTAGACTGTTCGTGCCTCTAGCCAACACCTCTACAAGTGTGTGGGAATTATAAGTTGTACGCAACGGCCAAACAACATGGTGGAAATATTTCAGAATATTCTAGTTTTGCAGCCTGAAGCTCATTAAACTAGCGAACAATTTCATACAGCACTGCTTCTTTATGTTATGCAATAAACCTCTGATAAAACTGACTTGTGTTTGTTTGGTTTGTTTTTAGCTTCGGAGTCAAAAATAAAGGGATAATTTTTTTCCGGGTATTATTATCGTGCGGTCTGACTTAGTCAAAAGCTGCACGTGGCAAACCAAGCCCTGGTCATTCAGCACAGCTTCAGTATAGACACACACATACATATCCACATGCATCCGCAACCTTTCACGCAGCCACACAACGCACTCCCCGCACACATACACCCACAGGAACGGACAGCCAACGTGGTGAAGACTTGATGTCCACGGCGTCTGTTTTCTTTCTACACCCACGAGTCGGGGGAGCCGGTGAACTTGTTCGCCCTGTTTGAAGGCCTCCGTGTGGTGGAGTAGAAGTCCACATAGTTGGTGTTGGCTTTGAATCGGAGCGACTGGGTGGCGTAGCCGTCGGGAGAAGACGGGGTCAGGTGGGCCGGTTCGTCCTCAAAGTGCTCCTCGCCGTAGCCTTGTGGGGACGACAGGTACATTCTGTAGCTGTTGAAGTTCTTCCTGTCGGGTTCGTCGTAGAATGGCTCTGGGTGCTTGGAAAACAATGTAATCAGTCAGTCTATATAAAATCAACCAAACTGAGAAAACATCCTTACCTGGATGATTGAGCACGACATTACTGTATGATGAAACAACAAAAGGCTTCTTACCTGGGATCTTCTCAGATCCTCTCCTGACTGGGAGGAATAGGTCCCAATGAAATATGGGGTTTTCTTCTCTGACCCTGAGGTGAAAAATCCATAAGTAGAGAGTAAAATAAATATAACTCCAAACTGAAATGGTGGTTGTTTGAGAGAAACACCAGTGTGCAGATCCCTGAGGAATGCCACAAACCTGTGTACTGCCGTTTGTGTAAACTGTTGTCTCCATAATATGTGTCGAGTTGCATAGATGACTGGGCCCGCTGATAGTTTGAACTGTGTCTTCTTATCCCGAGCATCGCTGGCGAGGATGTTGCACTACCGCCTGAAAACAAAGCCAACCAGAAAAATAAAACAGTGATATGATTTAAACCAAATCCTGTTTCCCCCCCAACAATCTATTACTGAAATATGATCATCGGTTTGATGTCTCTCACACCTGATTGAATGACGGGGGACATCTGCATTGGGCTGGTGGGTAGGGTCGGCTGAGAGCGGTATCGGTCCCGCTCCAGAGTGGAGACGGGGGTGACAAAGTGGGTGTAGTTCCAGCCATCCTGTTCACATGTACGACAAAAAGAAAATAAAGAGGCATGCTTGTGCACACATGTAGGAGCTCCTGCAGGGTTTCTTTAATATGAATACATACATTTAAAACCTCCCCCCAAAAAACAAAATTGGCTCTATAGAATAGACAAAAGACTTATGGAATTAGGCTATGGATACTGGAAAAAACAAAAAACATCAAACGTTTCCAAGGCTGTTGGAATTTAGATGCTCAAATTGCTGCAGCACCTGCTGGGGGAATGGTTGAGGACCTACATGTACTTAAACTACTGCATTTACGTAGATTTCATCCATTCACCTTCTGCCACAGACCTCCCTGACCACCTCCTCCTGATCTCCTGTGGGGAACAGTATTGTAGGGTCCTTTACCTTACAATATAAATCACCTTGAGGCAACTGTTGCTATATAATAATTTGAACTGAATTAAATTTTCTGTCAGAGAACCATGGCCTCAGACTTGATTCCCACCCCTGTTGCTTCACACTCAACTGTAAACCACCCCAAAGCAAACAGGGGCCATCCCCCGACGGAGCCAAAAGAACCACATAATCTGCAAAAAGCTGAGATGACATCTTGAGACCCTCCACTCTTTGGCTGTTCCTAGAAATTCTGACCATAAAAGTCATGACCACAATTGGTGGCGCAACTGGACCGGAAGGTTTCATCAGTTTGAATCCTGTGCCACAACACTTTTACCGCATAAGAGTTACAGGTTTGTTACGAATTTTGCCTGTGGCTGTAACAGTCAGTGGTGAATTCCTTTATTCTTTGTCAATTTGGCTTTCATAACAGCTGCTGTGTTTAATTGGTAATATCAGTGGCTGCCGTTTCAAATCTGGCTTTCCTAAGAATCATATAAGATGAGACTTTTACAGCATGTGTCATTTATGCAGATCCTACATCATGAGTCATCCTCATGGCACGAAACATGTCCCTTCAGCTGTGAATGTTTCTCCTTTCTTTATAGTTGAAACAGGAAGAGCGATTTATTGAAGCATGTGCAAAAATATGTAAATACAAGCATATAAGGGAAAAACAGTTTGTACCATGCTAACGAGCTGGAAGTCAGTATTTGGTGTGACCACCTTTATTCTTCAGCACAGTCTGAACTCTCTTTCTTGTTATTTCTTTAAGTCGTCTCCAGGAATAGTTCTCCAGGTTTCTTGAAGGACATTCAAAGCTCTTCTTTGGATGTTTCTGCCTTTTGTTCTGTTCTCTGTCAACATGATCCCACACTGCTTCAATAATGTTGAGGTCCGGGCTCCGGGGAGGCCGATCCATGACTGATAGTGTTCCACTGTGTGTTTTTCTGTCCAGGTATTTATTGCATTGGCAGTGTGTTTGGGATCATTGTGATGATCAGTGCTTGATTTTTTTCCTTTCTTAAGGACATTTTTTTCCAGACACTCTTCATCTGCTCTAGATATATATATATTTTTAGGCCCGATACCTCTTGTTTTGTTCTCCGCTTGTCCCGTCGCTTCAAATTTTTAAAGACTCCACAGTACATAGGTCACTTTTATCACACTTTTATCACAGCAAAACAGCTCTGGGGTTTTGCTGTGGCACTTTGCACAAAATTGATGGAATAATGAAGGAGGAGGACTACCTCCAAAATCTTGAACCTCACCTCTAATCAGCAGCTTCCAACAAATTGAAATGTGGACACAGTTGGATGTTACAGCAGGACAACGATCCCAAACACACATCACAACTGGGTGGCTGTAGCTCAGGCGGTAGAGCAGGTCATCATCTACTGATCGGAAGGTTGGTGGTTCGATTCCTGGCTTCCCCTAGTCTGCATGCCAAATATCCTTGGGCAAGATACTAACCCCAAATTGCTCTCCGATGCATCCATCGTGTGTGTGAATGTTACTTAGAAAGCACTTAGAAAAATGTGCTTGTGCAAATGGGTGTGAATGGGTGAATGCACAAGTTGTGTAAAGCACTTTGAGTGCTCAGAAGAGTAGAAAAGCGCTATATAAGAACCAGTCCATCTACCATTTACTGAGGGATGTGATATGCTGATAGCCTTTTCTTATCTTAGCACCCACATTTTGATAGATGTGACCAAGGGACTCTCATTCCAATGAAGTCAGATTAACAGAAGGGAGTGCACTTCTGAAAGAGACTTTGGATAATGAAGGCCTTGAATGATTACCGTGCCCTGAATTACAAACAGACGATAAGAAAGATAATCAGCATCTCCCTGAAAGAGCCTTTAAATTTCTTGAGGTGTAAATGGAGTTTTAATTCCATCAGTGTGAGTTCTTCCACATGTGTCTGCTCGTACCCACCTGTTTGTAGAGGGTCCTCAGCTCTCTGTACTGCCACAGGGTGTTCAGCACCTGAGCAGCTGCCTTCACAACCTTCATCGAATATCTGTGACACACACACAGTATGTAAAATAAAATGAGTTAAACCAGTTAAGGAGTGCCTGATTTTCTATCACCCATCACCTGTCACAGTGGTAGATGTTCATTATAAACGTAGCGAAATGAGTTCAATAATAAAAACATGGAGGTGGTCACGTCTTACCCTTTCCCTCGACCTTTGCTGATATCCACCAGTTTCTCGATGCCTCCGCTGTCGGCTAAAGCTTTGGCGTTCTCCATGTTGCGGCTGATGACTTCATGCAGCGTGCAACAGACTGATGCCACCGTGTCGTCTGACAGCACAGTGGGACTGCCGCCAGGCAGCCGGTTCACCAGATCCCGCATGGCGTACTTTCCTGCAGGTGGAGAGACAGACAGAACAGAAGGTCTGGATCTGCTCTTAGCGGATTAACAAACAAGTTTAACAAACAAGAATTGGTGGCACAAGATTGAATTAATGTCGGAGAATTGTAGATTTACAAAAGTTGGGAAGGTCTCTTCGAGCCATTTCAAAACAACTGCAGATTCCAAGATCATCAGATCAAACAATAATAAGTACATGTAATTCAGACGTGTCACCAATTTGCCAGAAGAAGACAAGATGACTCCAGGGCTCAAACCTGTCATGAACTGAAAACATCTGGAACACCAGCGTCACCGTCCACAGCGGAGTGAGTTTTACATTACCATGGACAGAAAGAAGCCCCTGCTCCAATATAGACGAGCCAAATACCTTCTGGAGAAAAGCTTTATAGTCAGAGAAGACAAAGATTGAGCTTTTTGGTCAAAATGAAAAGATGTTTAGAGGAGTAAAGGTACGGCTCTCAAAACCTGAGAACACTATACCAGCTGCTAAGCATGGTGGTGGTACTATCATGCTCTGGGGCTGTTTTGCTGTGGCACTTTGCACAAAATTGATGGAATAATGAAGGAGGAGGACTACCTCCAAAATCTTGAACCTCACCTCTAATCAGCAGCTTCCAACAAATTGAAATGTGGACACAGTTGGATGTTACAGCAGGACAACGATCCCAAACACACATCACAACTGGGGTTCGAGTGGATACAGCAGGCTAGCATTAAGCTTCAGGAATGGCCTTCCCAAAGTCTCTTACAGTGGGGCAAAAAAGTATTTAGTCAGCCACCGATTGTGCAAGTTCCCCCACCTAAAATGATGACAGAGGTCAGTAATTTGCACCAGAGGTACACTTCAACTGTGAGAGACAGAATGTGGAAAAAAAATCCATGAATTCACATGGTAGGATTTGTAAAGAATTTATTTTCCACCCTGATTTACGAATAAGTATTTGGTCACCTCAAACAAGGAAAATCTCTGGCTCTCACAGAACTGTAACGTCTTCTGTAAGAAGCTTTTCTGTCCCCCACTCGTTACCTGTATGAATGGCACCTGTTTGAACTCATCATCTGTATAAAAGACACCTGTCCACAGCCTCAGACAGTCAGACTCCAAACTCCGCCATGGCCAAGACCAAAGAGCTTTCGAAGGACACCAGGAAAAGTATTGTAGACCTGCACCAGACTGGGAAGAGTGAATCTACAATAGGCAAGCAGCTTGGTGTGAAAAAAAATCAACTGTGGGAGCAATCATCAGAAAATGGAAGACATACAAGACCACTGATAATCTCCCTCGATCTGGGGCTCCACGCAAGATCTCATCCCGTGGGGTCAAAATGATCATGAGAATGGTGAGCAAAGATCCCAGAACCACACGGGGGGACCTGGTGAATGACCTGCAGAGAGCTGGGACCAAAGTAACAAAGGTCACCATCAGTAACACACTACAACGGCAGGGAATCAAATCCCGCAGTGCCAGACGTGTTCCGCTGCTGAAGCCAGTGCATGTCCAGGCCCGTCTGAAGTTTGCCAGAGAGCACATGGATGATACAGCAGAGGATTGGGAGAATGTCATGTGGTCAGATGAAACCAAAGTAGAACTTTTTGGTATAAAGTCAACTCGTCGTGTTTGGAGGAAGAAGAATACTGAGTTGCATCCCAAGAACACCATACCTACTGTGAAGCATGGGGGTGGAAACATCATGCTATGGGGCTGTTTTTCTGCCAAGGGGACAGGACGACTGATCCGTGTTAAGGACAGAATGAATGGGGCCATGTATCGTGAGATTTTGAGCCAAAACCTCCTTCCATCAGTGAGAACTTTGAAGATGAAACGAGGCTGGGTCTTCCAACATGACAATGATCCAAAACACACCGCCCGGGCAACAAAGGAGTGGCTCCGTAAGAAGCATTTGAAAGTCCTGGAGTGGCCTAGCCAGTCTCCAGACCTCAACCCCATAGAAAATCTGTGGCGGGAGTTGAAAGTCCGTGTTGCTCGGCGACAGCCCCAAAACATCACTGCTCTCGAGAAGATCTGCATGGAGGAATGGGCCAAAATACCAGCTACTGTGTGTGCAAACCTGGTAAAGACCTATAGTAAACGTTTGACCTCTGTTATTGCCAACAAAGGTTATGTTACAAAGTATTGAGTTGTATTTTTGTTATTGACCAAATACTTATTTTCCACCCTGATTTACGAATAAATTCTTTACAAATCCTACCATGTGGATTCATGGATTTTTTTTTTCACATTCTGTCTCTCACAGTTGAAGTGTACCTCTGGTGCAAATTACTGACCTCTGTCATCATTTTAGGTGGGGGAACTTGCACAATCGGTGGCTGACTAAATACTTTTTTGCCCCACTGTATATATACTTAAGTATATGTTTGAACCTGTATGCATGTATACGTCTGAAATTTGTGCACCCACTTCAGGATTTCATTAACACTGAACATGTGTAAATGTGTAACAGTGCTGTTTATTTGCAGGCAGAGTATTAAGAGATGTTTAGTTTTGCTGAATCAGTTTTAGTGGCCGTCTTTCGTTCCTTTTACTGCAGCTCTATACTTGGGCGTGGCAAGATGCCACAACCCAAGAATGACTGTTCACAGGTAAGCTTTAGGTGTTCACCCTTCCCAGGAGCAGCATTTAGGCATTAACTCTACTTTAACTGTAATTTGTTTGCAGATAGGAGAGGGCACAAATGTAGGATTGTGTCACCACTAGGGGGCAACGTAATGTCAAAGACTGAGTATGTGCTGGCTTTGAATAAACAGTTGAGGGGTGTGTGTGTGTACCTATCAGTTCCTTGTTGCGGCTGTCCAATGCCATGTTACGCAGAGCGGTGGCGACGGAGCAGACTACCCGGTCGTTGTCCATCCTCAGCAGCTCCACCAGGATGGGAAGGCCCTTCTCCTTACGCACCGCTGCTCGGATGTAGGCCGAAAACTGCAAAAATAGAAACAGAGTTTTAAATGCCCCGAAAGGAGTCAAATATTGTTTTTACCCATCAGATTCCTACTGTGACAAACACAAGACTTGACCTGCGATGTCTCTGTTTGTATTCACTGGAGGTTTGAAGTTGGCAAAATAGGACTGAGATGAAAGCTGATGGCTTGTTCTGATGTTCCAAAGAAACAGTTCAGAAAGTCTGGAGAACTATTGCTCAAGAGCGCTTTATAATGGACAAACAAGTCTGGCTGCTTGGTGGCTCAAGACTTTTCCACAGTGTTGTCTATAATTAGGAAAATCTGCACCTTGTGTTAGCCTTAGACGAGGTCTTACCTTCCAGTTTCCTGCAGAGAGGTTCTGCAGGGACCCGGCAGCGCCCTCCAGGGTGGCGGGGTTGGAGCTTTCAGCCAGCAGGTTGAGGTACGGCTTCACCACCATTGGGTGCCACAGCAGCTCTGCTCCTCTCAGAGACTGGGAGAAACCCGGGACTGTCCCGACACCGTCCCACTGCGACAAACGCACCAAGGCACAGAAAGTGAAGTCGAGTTTGTATAATTGGGAGTGCTTAAACTGCTTAAAGGGCGATTCCTCTAAGGGTTGCTTGATCCAGGAGAGGGAAAATTTTATTTACATAAACTCTTTACATAAAAACAAGCACCTAAAACCAGCTTAGAATCAATAACTAACCCACGGAGCAGCCAATTCATTTCTCTTTATCCAAATTATACAATGATTCAGTTCAGATGGCTGTAAACAGAATATATTTGTGGAAAAATTACCTTCATTTTCCCTTATTTGCTTCCGTCCTTCCTTTCTGGGTTCATTTCAGAGGTTTTGATTTCTCGTTATGATTTGTATAACCTAATCAACCAATCAATAAAGAAGCTGTTCCCATGATGAGTCTCCACAGCAGATCGTCTGCCTCCGTCTCATCCTGTCTCTATCATCTTCCTCTGTCACACCAACTATGAAGCAATCCATGAAGCTTCTCTGTGGTCTTCCTCTTTATCGCCTGCCTGGCAGCTAAGAACTTTTGAAGATTTCAGTTTTCAGTTTAAATCTAGAGCTACAAGGACCCGTCATGGCTCATATTTGCTTTCACTTGCTGACGAATACAGAGGACAGCAAACCTTACAGCTGTGCGGTTGCCCAGTTTTCCTGTCGGGATAAATTATATGAAGGCAAAAGGTGAGATTTTTGTGGTTTCTGTTGTGGATCAGTCCCACTGCATTCAGAGTCCGTTTGGAGGGCAAAAGGTTTAAATATTCTGAAAAAAATAAAACACCATCCAATAGCTTTTTAAAGATCTATCTGCACTCTGACCCCAGCAAACAGATCAGGGTACATTTTTGACTGCGCCAGGTATAAACTGGAGGGTTCCCTGAGATCACCAGACTAGCTTTTGAGTTCTCAGATTGCTCAACAGGTAACTGCTCTTATACACATCTTGTATATTTTTAGTACTTTTAAAGCACATAAACATCTTTTCATGCTTTAAAAGAATGCCTGTAAAAGGCCTCAGTCGTACCTTGGAGTCGGGCCAGCCGCCTCTCTTCCTGCCACGCCTCCTCTTGCCCCAGCAGAGGTAGTCCAGCTCCTTGGCTGGGGAGGAGAACCCCAGCAGGGTGTCCAGCTCCTGGTTGCCGAGGAGGCGAGAGGAGGGCATCTCCATCTCCAGGCGGTACGAAAGGTTCCTCAGGGTGCAGACGCTGTTCTCCACTATCTGAAAGTAAAAATGAGAACTGAGCATTTCTTTTGTTTCTGCCTCTTCTTCTGTGTTTCCTGCTAATGAAACCTGATGGTGGTGCTAGAGGAAAGTTTTCACATAAAATCAAACATTAGACATCTGCTCTGCAGAGCTCTTGTTTCAGCCTGTGGATGGTGCAAAAGGTTTATTTCTGTTATATGATGTTTTGTCTGTGCAAGTAGTTTAGAATTTTCAGACCACTGACATCGATGTTTTATTGCTTAAGCTATTTATTTCTATTTGTTAGCTAAGGTAGCTGGGACACTACATCCTCTTCTTGTTTGCATGATGATGATATTATGCCACACGTCTGCAACACTTCTGTGCTGTAGTTGTATTTTCTGTACTGAACATGTGATGCCCTTGGATGTTTCCCCAGTTTGCTTGTTATCGTGTTTTAGAGGTTCAAGCTTTATATTAACTTTTAATATCATTATTAAAAGGTCAGCGTCTTTTATTTTCATATCAATGAATCTTTTGTGAACTACAGATGATCATTAAGCCTATACAGCTATATATATATAATTTTTTTTTTTTTTTTACTTGGTGGTGATAGCCACAAACACCTATGTTTGATTCTTGAAACACATTTTTCTGTTCCTAGGTTTTCAATTATAGGAACTATTACCACAGCAATAGTACTTAGTAGTAAAAGTACTTATGGATCTATCTGTGAAGTGTTGAAGGGTTATCAACTGAAGATGAACACAGGCCAGGGTTCACTTCCATGCAATACCAATTTGTACCACAGGATGGTGCAAGTGAGTCAAGTAAGCATTTAAAAAGATTTGCCTACATTTCAATCCATTATTGTATTAGTAATTTAAAATCAGGTGGTGCCTAAAAACAAACAGCAAATGCTAAACATCAGCACACCCCTGAAAACATTTCATCACACCCACTGGTAAAACGTTGCACCCTGGTGGTCAAAATTGTAGTTGAATTTATGAATGCATAACATCTAAACACATGTATAGTACGTTTATGTGGCCTGGCCACGTACAATCACATATAATGGTAACTAAGTAACTGACAGGGCATCCTTATAACAGCAGTCTCAGTAGCTGTAGTTTGCACATACTGCAGTATGTGAGTATTGAGGGATCAGATTCAGGTCCCCAGAGTGCGGTTCCAGCTGTGTCTGGGTCAGGTTAAGTTGGGATGACTCTCTCGGGGATAAACTGTGACAAAACATGACTCACACACTCATGTGCATCTTTGTGTGTTTGTGCTTTGCTGCACCTTGCTGTCGTAATCGGAGGTGTTGACGCAGGCTCTGAGGACGTGGAGCAGCGAGTCGACCAGACCTTCACAGCACCGCAGCTGACTCCTCGCCTCTTCCCCTGCTGAGCTCAGGTTCCTGACACACACACACACACACACACACACACACACACACACACACACACACACACACACACGAAACACATTAATTCAGACTCAGGTGCAGTGTGTGGATTCCCCCACTGGGTGGCTTCAAACCTGCCTGGATACAGTAAAGAAGGGAGCTGATCCTCCAATAGGAACCTCCAGCTGCTGCTAATGGAAAGCTGCCATGAGAAGACTGCACAACAGCAGCAAAGAAATCCCACAATGCATTTCCATACCATCAACCTACAGCCTCACGCCAGTCTAAGTGAAGCAAAGTGCCCGAGGCTCGCGTGCACGCGCCGCTTCCCCACAGCACTTCAAAGCTGTTTGAGACACGTCGTGCAGTTTTCTGCTTCAGGGAGCACACCTGGACTGGAAGTCTCCACTCAGCAGTTTTGAAGTTTTGTGTTTGGTAAATAAATCTACAACTAAGGGAAGTATTGCATCCTTAAGACCCGACTCTTGGTGTTACCTTACAGGTACGGTTTTTCCCCTACTAACAACGGAGACACACGAGAGGTAGATAAAAGATTTAGCCACTCATGAAACAGATCACATACTGAAAAGAGTCTTAATGCATCAGGAGATTCATGTTTTACTTGCACTGTTGCTTTACATAAAATTACAGTGCTTCAGAATTTGGTGAAAAAAGTTGGATTACAATGTGATGCACTGAGTAGCTTCTTATTTCTTCAACAGCCACGTCTGGTCGTGGAAAAAGTGCTAGTGCAAGTCGTAAAGCTCAAATTATTGAGAAAGCAGCTGAAACGACTGTTTCTAAAGCCCGGAAGGAGTGAGGTGACCCTTCATGTCTGAGGACAAAATGAGGTCTCAGTGAACATTTCCACGCGCACAATTCAATTCAATTTTATTTATATAGCACCAAATCACAACAAAAGTCACCTCAAGGCGCTTAAATTAAATTAAAAAGAGAACTTGAGAGTTTTGGACTGAACAGCCCTGTAGCCTTAAAAACTAAATATCGGCGAGGCTAATCGGAAAAAAGAAAATGTCAGCCTGCTTGGGAGTAGAGGCTGGACTCTGGAAAAAGGTCATGTGGTCTGACGAGTGCAGATTTACTCTGTTCCAGAATGATGGGTGCACTGGGGTAAAAGGAGAGGCGGATAAAGTGATGCATCCGCCTACAGCACAAGCCTGTGGGGGCGGTGCTATAATTTGGAGTTGGATCGACCTCAGAAGATGAGGTCAGCTGATTACCTGAACACACCGAACGACCAGGATGTTTTTTCTTTCCATGACGGCATGGGCATGATCCAACATGTCAATCGCAGGATTCATCACACTCAAAAGAAAAGAACGGTTGGAAGTATTAATCGCTATCGCTGGACTACTTTAATGTTCAAGAAATCTTCAGCAGCAATCCGGTCGTTAAGTGATGACGCGACGAATCCTACTTCCGGGCCTAAAGTAGTCTGCGTTTAATATGGCTTTTGTGTTGTTAACATGTTTAATGTTATGTATTTTCTTCTATTTAATCTCAAAAAGCTCCTAAAACAGTCAGTGATCCCTGTTGACCTCCCTCGGCTTTTATTACCGCTAATCATTTATTTAAGCTCAGTTTTTAAAACCTTAGGATGTAACTACAGCCCAGCCCATGCAGCAGTATATGGGCTGGGCTGGATTATCTCAGTTGTTCTCCTGGCTGAAGTTTGGTCCTTTTACAGCATCCTGCCATGCGATTACATTTGTTCCTGACCACCGAGAACACTCACGTTAACTTTTATCGAGTGGAAAAAAAGTTAGCTTGTTTATATTATGCTAACATAGCTGTGTTGCTAGCGGTCACGTAGCACATCATTATATACCAGCTAGCCAAACTTCAGTAACCCTACAAACGTCGCTGCTGTTTAGTTTTCTGTCTTCATTTATGCTGGAAGTGATAGCAGAGCTGTACGTTTTAATTTGTTTCCAAAACCCCGCAGTCAGGACATGCTATATTGTATTTAGATAGAAGCTAGCGAGCTAACTTCCTGCTAACTTCTAACTCCGTTAAATGTCATAAATTCCGTTTTCATGGATGCCTGGATGTTAAACTCAATTGTTACACCTGGTAGAGCAGAACGCTGATTATTTTATTAAAGATGAAAGACTTTAGACAGTTTTTCAACTCTCAGTAATGCCATAGTGATTGTTTGATATATGGACCTGCAGCAGAGTTTAGGCCCAGACACGGCTAGTGACGTCAGACTTAACGACCGGATACAGTCAGCAATACTGGCCTTGTATTTACTTGATATCAGATGGATACCAAACATTTGCACTATGGCAGAGCGCTACTTTGCGGTAATATTTAGGACATTTAACACCAGGATTTGTTGACTGCTTTTGTTGTAGCAGATGAAGATGGTGCAGGTGGTGACATAAAATAAATGCGTGGGCTGTGACAAACATGTCAAGCTGTGCACTGATGGAGCTTCCACATGCTGTCGGCCATGAAGAAGAGACAGAAAAGGAATGAAAGACAAAAAGCACCTTCATGATCATAAAACATCTCAGCCATATTCAAATCGTTCCATCATGCCTTCACACTGAAATGAGCTCAGATAATGTGAGATATTCTCGACCTACGTGGATTAAAGGACAAAACCCTTAACAAAATATCAAGAGTTGTGAATCGTGATCACAGAAAGAAAAATGTTTGGCATATTAATCATCGCACACTAGCTTTAACCTTCGCGTGGGCGGTAATAATGCAAGCAGATTGTTTACATCTGGTGCTCTTTGCAGAACGTTTAGCAGAAGTGAGCATTAAAGTGCCACGTGAGAAAGAAACAAGGCTGTTTTCTTTGTGGAAGCACGTCACGCGGGATTCGGTTTGGTAAATAGGAATGCCTTTTCTGCCTCCTGTCCAGCAGCGTGAACAGAGATCATCAGACCTTCCTCCCCTCGGCACCTTTCCCCTACAACTGAGAACAAACAGCCTCCAGAGGAAGCTCACTGTAGTTGTTTGTACTGACAAATGTGATGCGAAATCTCTACACAACACAGATTAATATCGTCACATTGATCATCCTGTTAATGCTATTGGCTGAGTCCTTAAACGCAAAGTGGTGACAAGTCCGATTAATCTCAGTATGCTAATTGGATGTTAGAGGGTTGAAAGCACTTCCTGTGTGTGTGTTTATATGTAAAAATGAAGGCATCCACCCTGCAGGTACCAAACCTTTAATAATGTTTTTAATTTTTAAGGTTTTATGCATCAACATGTAATAAAAATCTTAAAATTATGTAAATACAACTTCAGATGAATAACAATACCCTGATAAACCTCACATTTCAGCAGCCTGTGGAACCACCTTAACAGTTAATGGTTTTCTGTGTGACTTTATCAGTTACATCATTTTGGAGTTACTTTGGCCCAGTCTTCTTTACAATGTTCCTTCATTTCATGTGTTTATGCACAGCTCTCTCAACTCCCCACCACAGCATTTCAGTCAGGTTGACATCTGGACTTTGACATTGCCACTGTAACACCTGTTGCAGACACGCTGCTAAGCTTGGGATCATTGTCCAGTTGCATCACTCAAAGGTGCCAATATATTTATTCGCTCATCGTCGCTCACTCATCACACATATGCACCCATTTATTGCTGTTGTTAAGGCGCAAGAAGCCGCTGCAGTATTCTCCTGAACAGCAGGAGTCACCACTCAATATTGCGCCATATGCGCTGAAACAGGAGGAGAAAAGTCAAAATCGGAAGCATGGTCTGATGGTCGATGACTGCAACGTGGCCAAATCAAGGCAGATCACATGATCCTCATTCTCTACCTCTTTACTTCTTTTTCATACAGTCTCTTCATCTTTTTCACATCAGCTTTGATTCAAAACTTTCTTTTACTATTGTTTTAGTATCTCCAGTCGATCTTTCTCGCCGTAGTGACGCAGACTTCACCACTCTCTCCACTTCACCTCCAGGTGTTTCCTTATATAGAAAAATGGTGAGGCTGTATGCAGATAATGTAAAGAACGCTCAAGTTGATGCTCTGTTGATTTAGCATGAGTCTGATTTACTAAAATACACACAGCTGTAAGAACAAAATCAGCTGGTACACATGTGGCATAAATGTGACGGCAATTTTGCCCGCAAACTGTTTTCTTTGTTCGGGGTAACGACATTCGCACACATATTAGTAAGTGAGGGACATTGTTCCAGAAGCCTTGTGGTTTGTTCAGATGTTCTCATGGCAGACCTTTCAAACAAGCCATACTTATTCAGTCCTTTTCTAATTGTACTGTCATGAACTGTCTGAGATGTAGCACTTAAGCTCCGAGGATTGCACGGTCTGACCTTGGGGTGAATTTTCTGGGACGTCCACGCTTGGGAGGATTGGCAACTCTCTCAAATGTTCTCCATTTGTGAATAATCTTTCTCACTGTAGAACGATGGACATCTATAACCCTTCACAGACTGGTGTCTCAGACCAGCAAACTAAACTTCTGTTTTTATAGAGCCGCTCACACTTGCTGCTACATAAAACCTCAGATCTGAAGGAGGAAGTCCTTTCTTCTTCAGATGAGTGCGGCCGCTATTAATAAAGTGATTTCTAGTCTTAAGAACCACTCACGGCCCTTTAAAGTAGATATTTTCATGTATGGTACTAGGGCTGCTCGATTATGGCAAAAATGATAATCACGATTATTTTCACTGAAATTGAGATCACGATTATTTGACGATATTTATTTAACCCTTTAAGACCTACTATAGAACCAAGTCCACCAGAGCTTATATTATTTTTTTTTACATGCTGTAGTGCCATTTGTGGGAGCATTTCAAGTTGCTATACATCAATACAACTGTTATAGCCCATATTTTAATAATATGTATGCATTAAGTGCATAGTAATTACATAAATTGCAAAAAAAGTGCAATAAACTACAAAAAAAATTGAAAATCGCTTTTGTTTTGTTTACATATATTTCTACTTGGAGAAATTTAAGAGGCTTATCCCTCAAAACTTTAAATACAATAAAGTTGCAAAAAATAGTTTCCCACCACAGGAAATTTATTTTGAGTGTCTTCATAGTTTTATTTTGGAGATACACCAATTTTTATATACTGCAGGAAAAACAAAAAACAATCCTATGATGCAAATTTGCAAAGAAAACAGCATGTGCATCATTTCACTGTGGGAAGTGATAGGAACGGCAAAGCGTGTTTCTGGAATATTATGTTTTTGTTCCTGCAAGCGCTTTTTATGCAATTTTTGCAAAGCTATATGTGGAACGAAACCGTGACCGAGGACAAGCTGATGGCATCAGATGTAAGTACAACTCCTCCGGTTTCATATGCAAAACAAATTATTGCGCTAGCTTACACGGTTCAGATTCTACAGGGATTTAAAAATAGTTACGCAAAACGGAGCGTGCTGCTCTGACCGGCTTTAAAGGGTTAACAATGACTTTAAAAAAAAAATATAAAATAGTGTGCAACACCACTGAAGTTTTGTTTTTTTTTTAAACTCTCTTTTCAACCAACGGCAGTCACTCTCCAAATAACTTCTGCTTAGCTTTCCGAGCTTCCCTCGGGTCCTCTTAATCAGCGGTCTCCAACCTTTTTTGCGCCACGGACCAGTTTATGCCCGACAATATTTTCACGGACCGGCCTTTAAGGTGTCGCGGATAAATTAGGGAGGGGCTAATAATCGGCTCAGTCATTTTTAATGATCGTTGAAAGCCCAGATCGTAATCGTGATTAAAATTCGATTAATTGAGCAGCCCTATATGGTACATTAAACCAGCACTTTCTTCTGTGCACTTAAGCACATTTACACCTATGACCAACTATCTTTGGAGCTTGCCGAAGCACCCAAAGAGAACGAGACTCCACCCAGACTAGAGCCATGTTGATGTCAATCCCCTATTTTACTTTTAACCCCAACTGTCTGTAAATAGTCATGTGCTATGTCTTGATTTGGAAATTTAAAGCGTTTAATTCTTGCGGCTTCTCTGTAGCCCCCAGTGTGCGACTCTGCCATATGCCACTTTGATCTAATCCCAATTATTACCAGAACATCCTGAAGTGAACTAAATCATACGGGATAAAAGGAGCTTCTACTCTAAATTACATCTTTCAAATGAGTTCAAGACCTTAAAACTTTCTCTGCATGCTAACATTTGCAGGTAATAAATCTCAACCTTCATCCTGGGCTTTCAGTTTGAAGATACACTTTCTCTGGTATTTGCGTCTGTAGGCCAATATGGTCAAATGTTTCTTAAAGACTTCACGGCTGCATAAAATCTCCATTACAGAGCCCCTTATTGACGGATTATACGGCCGTGATTATGAGCTGTGGTTTTACAGAATCGTTAAGATGAAAAGTAGATGGGAAGGGGAGAAAAAGCAGCACAGACAACCAATAAATCCAAAAGTCGTCCTTGCATTTCAAAACCAGAATCAATTGAATAAGCAAACAGCGAGCCGGGTTACTCAGCAGGCTTAGGAGGCGATTATTTTCAGGGTGGAAATGAGGATGGATTTGCGTGGTTTGAGGACAGTTTCGGCTAAAGAGGTGTTTAATGTGTTGATGTTTGATGAATAACGTCATAATACCAACCATATTTCAAATTGGTTCTTTTCCTCGATTCTATCATCATTTTACGACTTAAGCTGCTTTTTGCGATGAATACACGCTGACTTATTGAGTGTTTGAGGGGGCCGTTTGATTTGTTTCTTACCTCAGGCAGCCGGTGGTGTTGCGAAGCAGCATGGAGGACTGGAACTTGACTTTGTGCTCGTCACGGTGAGAAACACTGCTCCAGCCTGAGTGGGGGATGACCACTGTGTTGGTCAGCGTGGTCAGAGCATCGCGGATGATGGTCATCTTCACCGCGTCGCACGAGGAGAGGTTCCACAGGACGCCTGCAGTGGATGCACACAGTAAAATAAGTCAAAACTATTGTTACCTGTCCATCCATCCATCGCTGTCTATCCAGGTCTAGGTTGTGGTGGCAGCAATGTAAGATCTCCAGATCTCCCTCTACCTGGCAACCTCCTCCTCCGGCTCTTTCAAGGAAATATCAAGCTGTTCTCAAACCAGCCGAAAGGTACAATCTCTCCAGCGTGTCCTGGGTCTCCTTCCAATTGGACAAACTGCCTCAGCTATGAGGCACCATCGAGGCATCCTAGTCAGATGCCAAAACCACCTCAACTGGCTCAGTTAAATGTTGTACTCAAACCTTGAGATACTGGAACTCTTCCACTTGTCAATTAATTCCCAGCCCAGAGCAGGCACTCCACTCTTTTCACACACAAACCACTCCAGTGTGAGGTGGAGGATGAAGCTAAAAGAACCACATCGTCTGCAAAAAGCAGAGATAAGATCAATAATTTGAGCAAAAGATTTAAAATTTAGATTCATCACTCCATCAGAGCTGTTGCCACTGATTTTCAGTAATTTTCATACCTCGCTTGAGCCAAGAACTGCTTCTTGAAGCCTTGTAGACCTGCTCCTTCTTCTTTAACGACTGTGTCAGTGTACACCAGCTGAGATGTGCAAAGCTTTCTGTGAATAGGTCCTTGGGAATCCCCTTGTTGGTACAAAAATACTATTTTATGTCTGTCAAACTGTGTTATCTTTGAAATTTTTCACAGATTTCATAGACTAAAGAAATGGGAACAAGAGATGTTCTTTCGTGACAGGCTGCTAGTAACAAAGTGCCTCAAGATATAATTTAAAATCTTTTCTTAGTTGTCTGTTATGTGTAGATACAAGACTGGTTCATTTCAGTGTTAGGTGCCTTTTTTATGCTTGAATGATTCATTCATCGGTCGAAGTTAAGTGGCTTACAATCTGAAAATGGTCAGGTATAAGAACTGGACTGAAAACGAGTGAAAAAAAAAAAATCAGCCAAAAGTCCAAAAAGACCTTTAGAAAGAACTATTGCTCAAGAGCAGGTTAAAATGACATGAAAGTTATTGCTGCTTGGAAGCAAAATGTTTTATATTGAATACAACTGCCAACCATGTCCAAGGCTTCACGTAAAAATATCCTCCATAAACGAAGTATAAAAGAGTAATAATGGGAAAAAAGCTTTGAGTTCAGTAAAAACAAGTGTTTTATTTTTAAATATGCAGCTTTGTTCCTGAATGTTATTAAGTGCAATTTGTTTTGGGGTGTGGAAGATCAAATTTAAGCAGCTACCAAAGAACAAAGTGCACCTTTAATAATCAGAGTCCCAACCCGAGCTAAAAATAGAACATTTCTGAAGCATTTCACCAGACAGAAGAGTCTCCTCTGTGGTTTGTGAAGCGTGTCTAGCAGCTTCTTATCTGCTGCCTTCAAACAGTATGTGTGGTGTGGCTGCAGAGTCCTGTTTCCAAAGCACATTATCTTAGCATCTGTCCCGAGGACTGTGCCGAGATCTGCTCAGCGCTGTGCGCCGAGTGTTTAAGCCGCTGCCGCTCACACCTCCCACAGAACAGCCGATACACAGATTAAAACACTGCCAGGCAGTCAGACGGCACCGCAGACCGATGCTCAGCCAGCAAGGCGGCCAGTCGGCCGGCCAACCAACCGGGAAGTCAACGGACCACGCTGGCAGGCGAACACCCACACACACCAGACTTTATCGTGTCAAGCTATTATTCTGAGCCTTTTTTTGTCGATGTGGACCATAGTGTTAGCTTATTTCACCCATTCAGGAATAAAAAGGCATCTGAGTTTAGAGACTGTTAGAACCAGTCCTTATCGGAACGACAGGATTTATGAGTCGGAGAAATCAACCAGAATCTAGAAATACAGTTTAAAGATGTTCGGCTATACTCTCTTAAACCTCTGCACTTACTTTAAATGACTGTCTCTAGCAATTATGAATATTTGAATGTGAATATAAAAATTTAAAGCTTGGAAACATACAGATGATTAATGTTTTCATTAGTTAAATCCAGTTTTCTAGATTTTTCTCTGCTTTTATAAATAATTAAAGGTACCCCGTGTAGTTTCTGGGCAGTAGTAGGCATTAAGGACAAGGATAGGGTCACACACATTCCTACTGTTCCCATTTATTCTAATGTTAATACATGACACCTGCTAGTTTTATGCCTGGCCTATATTCTTATCATTTAAGGTACCGTACCTTCTAAGTAGGAAAAAAATAACCTTAACAAACAAAAGAGCTACAATTTTCTGACATGTAACCCTCAAAAATATATTTGATTGCACATTTTTATGCCCATAAACATCATTCCACAATTTAACCCCAACACCATAAATACATCTTCATTTAAATCCTTTTTTTTTTTTCCACAGTAAAATGACAAAAATCTCCCAAATCACACTGAGAAAAACACTTGAACACAGTTCGGGAATAACTTTAGCTTTAAGCATTATTTGCATTATTAAAAACCCCCCACCAATCATTACATTTAATTAACGAGATCTACAAATGATTGTTTCCTCTGTTTACTTACATTTTAAACAGTGTCACCACTTTTTCATAATTGAGGTTCAACGTAATCCCTGTGAGTTCAGGCTTCAGGTTGCTCTAAACACTCACTTTTACACAGCTTTTCTACTCTTGGCTCTGTATGACATCAGTGAGAGGGGATAACCCTAATATGGTCGTCTCAGGCAAAGAAGCCCCACCACCTGCTATACAAACCTTCTGTTTTTGATGAGAAGCAGCCAATCAGGAGAAAGTTGGGTCAAAAGGGGAGAAGCTGTAAATGAGCAGATTAGGTTGGCAAGTCAAGGCTATCGGGACGTACCGGTGACCAGTTCACGGACTTCATTGTCAGTTGTTTTCCGGAAGAGGCGGAGCAGGGCAGGCACGCCACCGCAGTTCCTCAGCGTCACCTTGTTGTCGTCGGTGGCCTTGCCGTACACCAGGTTCCTCAGGGCCCCGCAGGCGCTTTTCTGAACCTCGGCCACCTTATGATCCAGGAGGTCCACCAGGTGCTGGATCCCTCCCAGGTGACAAACCTGCAGAAGAGGAGCCGTTACGCTTAATAACGTCAATTTAAACTGCAGTGCAGAGCTTGTGTCTGCCTCTTGTGGCAGTACCCCTAATCAGTTATATTTGTTTCTCTGTTTGTTGTAGTCAAGCGTCCACGGATTTCTCTATATCAATTTCAAATTTTATGTGATGGTAGATACCAATATCAGCTCGAGCTGATTTAATTTTGGTGAAAATTAGGGTCAAGGTCACACCAACTGTTAAAAATGAGAAAAAACAATTTTTTATGCAAGGTCTTCAAACTTCACAACAGTATACTAGGCCTTGGGTGAAAAGTACCAAGGTTCGCTAAAACATTTCAATAAACGATATGGAGTAATATATCATATGAAAGGGCCTGAGGAGAGCTGTACAACACACTTTTTATTCTCTCAATATGACACAGTATGATTTACTTTCCATCCACAGAGGACTGTCTCACCACAGACAGAAAGTCAAAAGCATTTAGCAAAAACAGGTGAAATGACTGCTGGTGACACAAAGTTAAACTTTCGGTAAATGGTCTGGTGCTTACATATCGCCTTTATACTCAACTTGACCACTCAAAGCACTTTCTAATACAAGCCTCATTCACCTAATCACACAAACATTGAAAAAGTGCTTTTATCTACACCAAAACACTTTATCAAACATTTACACAGACACTCTGATGGGTTCATCTGAGGGGCAAAGATGCACAGATAGTGGAGCCGGGAGACTGATTCAACGACCTTCATGACAGGTCGACAACTCGCTTCCCCACCTGAACCACAGCCACCCACCTTTCAGCTTCGAAGGGAGCAACTGAAGAGACTACCAATTAGAGTGAAGGATAGCATTGACTGACATATGAGGGGTGTAGCAAATATATTCAAGTGGACCATTCAGCCTGGATGGTTCATTGGTGACCAATCATCAGCTACAAAGTGATGATCAATACAGCTGGGTACCTTTCATATTTGAATCCAGTAGTGGTTTTTGATACGGGCGACACGGGCAGTTGCCGGGGGCGGCATCACGGGCATCGGCAAAAAAAAAAAAAAAAAAAAAAAAAAATTACTCGTACTCATGCTGCCCCGACATCATGCCAGGGCATATTGGGAAAGTCGTAGGCACCGATTGGTTTTCTATCGCCCATTTGCTGGGAGTAAGGGCGCCCTCCGTTTGCGAGGTGCGCCTGCTGCTTGCGGCACAGGGAGGAGAGGGCGGGGCGGCGGGGGATTCTCTGGCTGGCTGGAGCAGCATCTAATAACCAACTCGCAAAATAACACAAAATAAAAACAAACCAACAACCAGGAAAACACCAGACATCATGATACAGACTTATAATTTGCACAGATGTTTTTTCAAAATTCTATATGTGAAAAGTGAGCGCGAGAGCCCTCAGTGCACCTGCTCGCTGCTGTGCTGAAGTCAAAGTAAACTTTATGTGTGAATGTGTGTGTGAATGGGTGGATGACTGGATGTGTAAAGCACTATACAAATACAGGCCATTTACCATTTTATTGTCATCGCCGCTACATACAGTCCAGTATATAGAGAGACGAGACGACGAGGCTCCAGTTACAGCAGTACAAGTAAACAAACAATAAATATAAGAAGAGTAAGAAAATAAATATACACTTTAGGACTCGGGTAAAGGGATCAATAACAATTTAAAATTTATAATTTACAGTTTGATGATTTAAAGTCTCACACACACAACACATCGAAAGGTGAGGGGGCCTGCTGCCTCCAAGTAGAGCACATTTCATTCATAATGTTGTAAATCCAGGCCCATCATGTATTCATGATTTGAATCCTGGGAAATCCCAGAAATGCACCCTCGACAAAGTGAATCTGTGAACTAAGGTGGAGGTGTGTTAGGTTATGTTGTCGCGATCCTCGAGTTGGGGGATGGGTGTTCATACTGGAGTGCAAAATTAAAACCAATGGAAGATGGACAAGAAAAGTTCAAAGCCATCAGGTGCTCCATTTATAAAAATGAGAAAAGAGGAGGAGGAGAAACGAGCAAAAGATACAGATAAGCAGATGTGTCATTGGATAATGGCAGGTCATCCTGAAACAATCAGAATCAGAATACTTTATTAATCCCTAAGGAAATTATGTGAGTTACAGTTTCTCCAAGAAGAAATGGTAAAAATAGTAACAGTAACAGACTAAACTCCAAACAATACATTATGTTACAGATTTCACACATTTAAGAAATAGCACTAATATATACAGATCACTCAGTTATATATATCAAGGATTAACAGAGGTGATTATAAATAAATATCAAGAAAATTGATGAGAATATTCCAGAGTAGAAAAGAGCGCGTGTTCAGCACAATATTAGTCATTGTCAATTCTTGATTTGTCCTGTTCTCATCGTGTGGAGAATTATGATGGCTGTTTGGTAGCCGTTTGCATACAATGCAGAATCTCTCTCTCTTCATGTATGTGTGTGTTTCTCTGGTGAAATTCAGTATGGCTCCAACAAGCTTTATGTTAATGTACAATCCATAATATGTTTTGTGTGTGTGTGTGTGTGTGTGTGTGTGTGTGTGTGTGTGGGGGGGGGGGGGGGGTGCTAGGACCGCCACTGTTTGAACCAATACCAAACTGAAAGAGCAGGGACACAACTGGGGAGACAAAGGTAAATAAACATGGAGACAAGGCTAACTTCCACGGGAGACCCTGAGGACAAGACACAGAGACAAAAACAAAGACACAAAAGGAAACTAACAATATCAAACAAGAACCAGACATAACCTCAGAGACACTCGGAAGAACTAAACTTGAAACTAAGCGGTAGAAGAATCATGAGTCCATAACAAAACTTGATTTTGGACTTTGACACTTGAGCCTTTGTATGGACATATCTTTGAAAAGGTAATTAAAAAGAACAAGATCAGAAGCTCTGATCTCTTATGCTGTTTACAGATGTAGATTGGTTAACCAGTTCGGGGCAGATCAGGTGTAGAGATTTGTCTTTCTACCTAAAAAGCACATTTAAACAACTCATCTTCAATCTCTCTTTCCAGATATCACCCAGTTCTTTAAAAATTGTCTGAATGGTTGGGATAAAAAGTACTACACGCCAGAAGATAAAATATGCATATCTGATTTTGGAGGGAACCGTTACTTCAAGGTGGAAGCAAATGGAGTAGAAACACTGGTTTTCAGGCTTGTAATAAGTCACTCTTCATCAGTTTGTGCTTTCTGATCGGGTGCTGCTGGCTGAAGACAGAACGCTGAATAATCACAGAGCTTTCCCCTCCTCAGCTTCATATTAGAGAAAAGAAATTCAATCAGAAGGCAGAAATGGGAAATAAAAGCGTTTTCTGTGCCTCCTGGATGAGTTTCAGATTTATGTCTTACACACATAACGGGATAACTGTCACGGTTGCGCATTAGTTTCAGACTTTAACTGTTTGCATACGCACAAGGTCACCGTTAGTGTGGCATGCTCACAGGAGGAGAGATTAAAAACACACGTAAAAGACGGACGTATCAGTCGTTAAATGAATTCAAAGGAATCAAACAACTGTCAGGATGAATGAGCAGCAGTTTTAGATCTATTTGGTAACCATCCATGCAGTTTCTTTGGACCTGTGCAAATGTTTGAAGGTGATTTTGATGGTTACATTTAACCCGTCCGAGACTGAACCTGGATTTAACTAAGCAAACACAGATGACGGTCAAACTATAGAAAGTTTTTGAAAATGAAAGAGCAATAGAAAAATAACTTTTGAAGCACATTATGACAACTTTGAGTTTTAAGATGTGTTCTTACAAACAAAAAAACCCCCAAAAAAAAAACATTTTAAAGACAAAAGCACTGATTTTATGTGCCGATGAGTTTCTGAAATAGTTTGGAAGGGAACCAGGACACAAAGCTGCAGACGCTTCTCTGTGCTGTGCTCAGAACTTTCTCTTGTCATCTCGAAATAAACCCCATCTCAGGAGAGCTGCACGCGCTCCCCGATTCTCTCCGACTCCGCGTTCAAACCGTCATTGAAAACATTTGTTTCTGGCTAAATGAGCAGGCTTGTGTCCAGGCTGCTCCAAAGGCTAATTAAAAGCTCATCACCAAACAAACCCAAAGGCACTAAAATGGCTCTCACGCGGAGCCGCGCCGTCCTGTTGGCGTCATTTAATGCACGGGAAGCCGAGCAAAGAAAGAGAGCGAGCGCGCGTCGGAGCGCCGGCACATTTGGCACCGACGTCACTTAAAGTTTTGTTGGAGCAGATGGCGCTTTGGCTCCAAATTTGGCAGCAGGCATCAAAAAAAAAAAAGAAAAGAAAAGAAAAGAAAAAAGAAAAAGAGGAAGAAATAAAACAAGATTTTGATTCCTGTAAGCTGAGAATACACTCAGAGACGACACAGGCATACAAAGGGAGAAACAGGAGTCAGAGCAAAAGAGCCACTGAAGGTGGACTCAGATGGTTGAGACTAAGAGAAATCCAGAAATATCTGAAGTATCAAAAAAGACTGAAAATATCAAAACATTTTAATTTGCTTAATTTTCACGTTTATTTCTTATTTATTGTTATTTATTTATTCAGAGATCTGTGTGCCCTTTTAGGGATTTGTCTTGATTTGTGTTGATGTCTGATTGCCTGATCAAGGATGATTATCTCCTGTGGGAGATGCAGTTATCTTACATCTGATGCTCATTTCTCTGTATATACAACGCTCAAAAAATTTCATGAATGCACTGAAAACACATCGGATATGAATGGGAAAAAAAAAATCATGCTGGATATCTATAGTGGTACGAGCTGGGCAATGTGTCAGGAGGGAAAGGATGCCTCATCGTTTAATGGGTGAATTTAAAGATACCTCAAAATGAAAAGATGATGTGGCAGGGTACTCTATTTTGATGAAATTTCATGGCAGCAGTTCAAGATGGTACTCAGTAGTTTGTATGCATGCCTGACCACATAGATGGTGTCCTGGGGGTTCTTCGCCCAGACCTGGAAGCAGGGCACCACTGACCTCATGGACAGTCTGAGGGGACTGAATGGACCAAAGATCAAAAGGTGTTCTTTTGGATTTAGGTCAGGTGAGTGTAACAGCCAGTTTCTTCATCCCACAGGAACTGCCTGCAAACCCTTATGTGGTATGAGGCCGGGCTTGGTCATGCACCAGGAGGAACCCAGAACCCACTGCACCAGCATAGCACTCCTGACAGTCGGTCTAAGAACTTCATCCCGATACCTAATGGCAGTCAGGGTGCCGTTGCCTAGTCTGTAGATGTCTGTAGGTCCCTCCATTAATATGCCTCCCCAGACCATCACTGACCCACCACCAAACCGGTCATGCTGAACGATGTTACAGGCAGCATAACGTTCTTCACAGGTTCTCCAGACCCTTTCACATCTGTCGCATGTGCGCCGTGTGAACTTGCTCTCATCTGTGAAAAGCACAGGTCACCAGTAGTGAACCTACCAACTCTGGCATTCTATGGTAAATGCCAATTGGGCTCCACGGTGCCAAGCAGTTAGCACAGGGCCCATAAGAGCATGTCAGACCTTCAGGCCACCCTCATGAAGTCTGTTTCTGATTGTTTGGTCAGAGACATACTCACCAGCGGCCTGCTGCAGGTCATTTTGTATCTCTGGCAGTGCTCCTGTTCCTCCTTACACAAGGGAGCAGATGCTGGTCCAGCTGATGGATTAAGGGCATTGTACGGCCCTGTAACTGCCTGTCTCCTCCATGCTCTTTAGACTGTGCTGGAAGACACAGCAAACCTGGCAATGCCATGACTCCACCAGGAAGTCGGCCTACCTGTGCAGCCTCTGTAGGGTCCAGGTATCTCCCCATGCTACAGTACCAATAGTGACCCTGATGCTGGTAAATGCAAAACTAGTGAAAAAATGAATAAACAAACAAAGAAAACCTATAAAAGATGAGAGAAAACCATTCATGTTGTGGGGAGTGTGTCATGAACCAGAATGTTCATGACACACTATCCTGTGTGCCTATCCTCTGAAGCCTGTTAGCATATTTATTGTTATACTGCTTTTCACCCACATCAGTACTTCCCTGCACAGGGAAGGAGGCGTTACAATTACTGAGATCAGCAGCAGACTGATCTGACTGAGGTTTAGAGTTTATAAATATGTGATAATGACACGACTAACATATTTTACAGCAGTGAAGCAGAAGTTCTAACTGAATGATGCAGAGAAGGGCCGTCAGGTTAGGCAGGATCCTTTCACTCTTCCACTCAAGAGAGTGTCTGTTCCTCTCTATCAGCCCGTCCCAGCAGCTGCACCATTACTTGCAAAGAAAGCAAACTGTGCACTTCATAACTGTGGGATTTTGAACAGATGTTTCCTGATCCCCCTCCCCCCCGCCCAACAACAGTGTCACCTCTGCTGTCAAGGGATGAAGACCGCTGAAAGTCAGTTTCTGATTTGACTGTTTGTCCTGTAGATGCATCTCCTCTAACCCTCCCCTTAAAAACTGCACTCTGGATAATCCAAACACTTTTTGAGACAGCTGCCTGTCACTGTCATATAGGAATGTCAGTCTTACTAAACATGCTCATTCTGCTGGCACTTCTGGGGAACACTTAGTTTTATTTTACCTCTTTTAGTTTTAGAGTGTTCTGTTTTGCTAACTTTAATAATGTCGATGTGCAGCATAAAAGGTGTGGATCACTGTGCAGAGAAAAGCACCAGTGTTCATGTTTGCAAACTGGAACCAGCTTTTACTCTATTAAATTGATGTTTTAAAATTAACGGGTGATTAGACTTGCTAGTATTTCAACGGATTAAGATATAATTCTTTCTGCACCGTATACAATGAAATCCCTTTAATCCTGTTTAAATAGCTTGTCCTGTCCCCGACTGGAACTCTTAATGGGTTCTTCCTGATGTTTTTTGGACAGGATCAACATTAATTAGGTCTCAGCACAGCTGTTTTTGAAACCTTTAGACACGGCAGCAGCGACTGAGTCATATCTGTGACGTTTGTCTGGTTATTTTTACCCAGACAGACTGCCCAGCATGTATCATCCCCTTACCTCCACCTTGACCCTGTTGTCTCCGTAGCACAGGTGCTGCAGGTAGGCGGCGGCGTTGGCTTGGACAGAGGGGAAGTGATGCTGCAGCATGTGGATGACCTCGGGCAGCTCGGGGTCACGCCAAGCAAACTCCCTGATGGGAAACAGAGAGAAAAGTCTCCATAAGGGTGGCTCACCTTCTACGCTCAGCCATTTTTGGTTTATTTGTGCGGTTTTGTAGCATCTTGGATTCATTATAACACTTCTGACATTTTTTTTTAATGTTTAGCTATTTTCTATTTTCAGAGGATTTATCCTTTTGATTGCCTGATATTTAACAAGTAAATCAGCAAATAAGCAAACAAACTAGGATGACTGAGCAGAGCATTGGATGGTGCTGAAGACATTCCCACGTATATTGCAAGCATCTACTATGGGTTTTAGCAATTTTGTAAAAATAAACACTCTTTGTCAAGTAACAGAATTTGAATAAATTGAATACCCACTCTGTGACCACCTACATCACTGTGTAAAAGTTTGAGTGATTTGTGTGTTTATATTGCTCATCATCAGCAAAAACGGGGGCCAAATTAATTCAGTGAGCTCAAACAGCCAGACTCCAAAAACAAAAAATCTACGGCCAAGAGATGAAAAAGAAGTCCTGCAGCAGATGGCGAGGCCCCAACAGAGGCCTGCAGACAACACAGAGACAGCCTAAACCCCCCCAAAATAAAGACTGTGGCAAGCTCTCTCACATTAATACACCAGTATACATGCTAATTAAACTGTATTGTACTGAGAAGAACTGGTGGTTGGAGACTTTGAGTACCTGGGGTCCTTGTGGATGCTCTCGATGGACGGGGTTCGGGTGACCACCTGGTCCACCAGTCCAGAGTGCCTGTGTGAGTAGACGGGCTCGCCGGGAACCCTGAAGGAGTCGACGTATACAGCTGCAGAGCTCAGCCCATAGCTGCTTCTTTGGTACGGCAGCGTGTTGCAATGGCTTGTGGTCCGAGGGAGAGTCCCCATTCCTAAGAAAATTAGGAAATTTAATCTGTGCTTTCTTTCATTCGCGATCAAGGATGTGTTTCTGGAGGCAGTTTACATCGTCAAAATGCCTCCAAGGTCACATAAAAGAGAAAGTAATATTCTACATTAAGTGCTTCAGCAGGCAGGGAGACGAGTCTCAGGCCAAACTTGTTTAAATCTTGACTAAACAAAACTAAAATGGCTCCTTAGATCCTCCACTATCAAACTCTACAGAGCTTTCAGCCTTAAATCATTCAGCAAAGACTTCAATTAAGAAGCTGCCGAGTACATGAAAGGTTTCAGCCTAATTAAAGTTTGACCTCGGGGAGCGATAGTAATAACAGTTCCTGTGCCTGTAAACCACGATTTCCGCCACAGATTTTAAAGGAATAATTTCTAACCAGATGTGAAACTGAGCTCCATCTCAACCTGGGGAAACAAGAAAAAATAAAAACTGGGTCGTCTGAGTAACTCTCTCATTTCAAAAAGACTGCTACCACAACCCAATACCACCACCAGCACTGCTACGGATATGATACAGATTTTCTGGGGCAGTTAGCATTTACTTCCTTTTGATTTCCAGTTAGATTTAGTGCTGAAATGTATTGATAATTCACAGTAAAACATAAATTTGATTTATTAGGACATAAAATTTGTTAATTTTATTTAAATAACCAACTGTCACATGCAGCTAGCAGAAATATTTCCTTATAAACAAGTCAAACTTCTGCTGATGTGCAGTACCTGTGTTTGTCCTGTAGAGGGAGCCCTGTGGGTCGTGGGTGGGGCTGTGGTACAGGGGGCTGTGGAAGGAGCGCTCGTCGAAAACAGGCGTCATGTGGCAGTCTGGAGACAACGCCGCCCTCAGCTCTGGATCAATTTGCCCGCTGTGACCGGCGTATGAGCTGTGGAGCCCTGCAAGTAGACAATTAAGCTTTTAAATAAACGTTATTTACACCACAGTAAACATAAAAATGTTTACTGAGGTGGCCTCCTCCATACTACACTCACAGAGGATGAGGAGACATCCTAATAGTGTTACCGGCAACTTTGTTAGGTACAACTGTTCATTAATGCCAAAGTCTTCTCAGCCAATCATATGGCAGCAACTTATTTAGGCATGCAAATATGGTCAAGTCACCCTTTATGGTGAATAAAGGTGATTTAAGCAACTTTGAATGTGGTACGATGGTTGGTCTGAATATTTCAGTAACTGCTGACTTACTGGGATTTCCACCACACAACCATCTCTAAAGTTTACAACAAACAAAACATCCGGCGAGAAGCAGTTCTCTGGGAGAAAATCTCTTGTTGACGTCAGAGCTCAGAGGACGATGACCAGACTGCTTCATACTGAAGGCAACAGTAACTCAAATAACCACTCGATACAACCAAGATATGCAGAAGAGCATCTTCTACACCAGGTGTGTCCAACTCCAGTCCTCGAGAGCTACTTTCCTGCAGCTTTTAGATGCATCCCGACTTCAACACAGTTGAATCAAAGGGTTGGATTACCACTTCAGCATGCCATCAAGTTTGGCAAAGGCCCAGTAATAAGCTATTCTGTCGGAACAAGGATGCATCTAACAGCTGCAGGACAGTAGCTCTCGAGGACTGGAGTTGGACACCCCTGTTCTACAGCAACAGAAGACCGCATGGAGCACAGCAAACTGAGGATTCACACTGGCTCACCAAAACTGGATAGTAGATGATTGTAAAAATACTGCCCAGTCTGATGATTTTCAATTTCTGCTGCAACATTTGGATGGTAGCGTCACAATTTGGTGTAAAAAGCAGTAAAGCATCCTGCCTTCTATGAAGGGTTCAGGCTGCTAGTGGGGTAATTGTGTGGGGGATATTTTCTTGGCACACTTAATACAAACTGAGCATCGTTTAATCACCACAGTCTACCTGAGTGTTGTTGCTGACTCTTTATGGCCTCAGTGTACCATGTTCTGATGGTACACCTCAAGGTACTCATGTCACTTGAGCTACTTCACATGTACTGTGTGCAGAAATACTGAAAAATGTGCAAGAAAACACAATGTCTAATATCTAAGAAAGAAAAAAGAAGCCCAGAGCTGCATGACACCAGCCTATCATGGTCACACATGAAATCGCCTTATTATCTGGCTCGCATGCTTGTCATCAACTTGTGAGACCGTGCCAATCCATACTGTTCAATACTCTGTATTTTAAGTCACCAGAAACTGTTGTTGCGCCTATAAAATGCATGAAGACTCTGGTCATTCAAACCGTGCTGTAGGCTCAGACACCAGCAAGTCAAACAAGTAAAGCAGAGGGTTTTTCCATCCTCCAATCTCAGAGCAGATCAGTTCAAAGAGTGCTCCAATTATAAAGAAGCTTTAGGGCATGAGGGGGGCAGCCTCGGCGGATCAGTCCAACAGCTGAAGCACACAATTTGCACTTAAAGCTGGTGATGAAGGAGCCATTTACTTCTGCAGTTTGCCTCTCTCAATTTACATAAATGTCCTAGTGAAAGAGATGGGCGCTCTGATCTCACATGGCTGGATGTATTTCTGAAAGAAAATGAAAAAATGAAAAAAAGCCCTGTTCAATCTGGACCTCGGGGTCGTACTCGAGGGCTCTTCAATGGCCCATAAAGAGTGTGACCTTCAGGTTAGAGGATGCTAAAGCTACCAAATGTATGAAATGTGCTAGAACGACACAGAATCAGGTTTCAAGGGGTTCGCAAAGGCTTTTATCAAACATCGAGCACTGCAGCGGCTCCTAAACTGGAGATTACTACACTATTAATAATATAAAGACGACTGTGTCCTGTGTATAATTTATTACAGCTAAACTGTCAATGTCAAGGCTGGTTTGCATTGTTATAACTAGAAACCAAAATAGAATCTGAATAATTTCGTCCTCAACCCGCTTATCTGGTGAATAATATAACAATTTCTCTGAAACCGGATTTATCTTTTTATCCATTAAGGTTTAAGCTAGTAAACTGGTGTCAGCGGTTTACAGCCGTTTCTGTCAGTTACTCAGACTACTTTTCGATATCCCAACCAATTAAGCACTCTGAGACACACTTTCACACACTAATCTAAAACCTTTAAAGTCTCCAGTCCCGTGGAAACTTGATTCAGCAGCTTGTGAAGCCTTCTTCAGCTGCCACATCTTAAAGTAATGTAGTAACAGCTCAAGGATGTTTTTTTTTCTTTTTTTAACCATCTTGTTGCAGATTTGCCGCTAGGCCTGGGATAACTGGGATTCATTCACTAATATTTTTGTAGAAGTGTTCTTATCTTTCACAAAAAAATACATCTGTACCCAAAATTACCATCAGATTAATTAAACGTGCACACTATTTTATTCTTACCACAGCTGTATATGTTGATCAGACTGAATCTGAACCCACAGGGCTTGTGCATCCTGTATACACCATGCTCTCATCTCTCTAATTTAGGACAAATACATCCAATTCCAGGAGAAGCAGAGAAAATGGTGACGATGTTGCAAGGGAGAAGTCTGCACTGGCAACGCAAGAATAACGCAGAAGTCATTTTGAATAAATAAAATGAGACATGAGATGATGTGAGGTAAGGAATATTGGAGTATCTTTAAATGAAAAGCCTGCAGCTTTACATTTAGTGTTTTGTTGTCTTTACATGCATTTAGCACAAAATTTCTAATTCACTAAAATTTCAGCCATCTATCGACACTTAATTACCATTTCAACAATCTTTTACGTTGGCTTTTAAATCATTTATCCAATCATTTTAAACAATTTTATACATTTTTATGCTACTTCTAAACCCAATTTCAGCCACTTACCCAATAATTTTAGCTAAATGCTTATTCACGGCTTTAAACCACATTTTTAAGTTACTAAATTTCTACAATATCAGCCATTTACCTACCTACCTATTACATTTAGTATCTATTTGAACAATTTACACATTTACATTATCCATATATGGTTTTACACTACTTCATCTGCTGTCTTTAGATATCTGTCCATGTATGACTTTTAGCTAATTATGCTAAATCAGACATTGCGGATCAATCCTTGTTACATGAAAACAGATCCTTCCTGTATCTATTTTTCTGTTTTCAATCAAAAGAGATCTGGGAAGACCAAAACTTAAAAATCTGAAGCATAATAATGACAGCGCTTATTGAAAAATTATTTCCACAAAAACAAACAAAAACCAGCTCATCTTGCAGTTGCATTCGTGTTTGGAGCACACCGGGTTTCAGTACCTAAGCCACGAGTTTCACTGATCAGTAATAGCCTAATCTTGTATATCCATCTATTGCTTATCTCACTCGTGTAATCTGGGATTACGCTGGATCTGCAGGATAACCGGGAATAAGGACTTAGGCGACGTATTAGGCCACTTAGCAGCACTGCAGGATGAAAACCAGTCAGCTAGAGAATAGAAGGCATTTTATTTAGTCCACTCATTCTGCCTCTACCCACACACAGACATAACGCACAAGAAATCCTTCCATCCTGTTTTCACACATGCACAAACACAACAATAGCACAACACACAAGATGCACAAATGCATATTCATATTCTTGACACATATGCTTGAGCTGACGCACACAAAACAGTGCAGAAGAAAACATATGAAGACTAGTACAATAAGCCTTCCAGTGCAGTCAGCTGATAATCACATGCTGATGCTCCATGGGGCTTTGTGATAGAAACTCCCCTATATGGGTCAGTGGGAGCGGCTTAGTAAAGTGGCAGAGGGCAGGACGAGGCATAAATCTGTGTCGCTGCGCTTCTCCGACAGTAAATCCTCCACCGGCCTCGTGCAGGGAGGAAGCTGTCGATAACCAGTTAACAGGCAAGGAGCGGCTGGTCCTAACGTTTCCAGAATACAAAGCTCACGTCTTCAACATCACCACGGCCCCGGCGACAGAGTCAAACACGTCTAGTTCAAAGCCACTTTTGGGTCTGAAATGTGCTCCAAAGACGCCTCAAAGGCAGCTGTAAGCCAGGCTCATTGAACAGCCTGGCAGCAGTACAGAAATAATCCCTTCTCAAGTTTCTCAGCCAGCCTCGGCTGTCTCAACCAATCGGAGAGGCACAAAGTCAAAAGGTTGGCTCTCAACAGAAAGTCAGTCAGCTTCTCATCATCCACTTAGCGTTGTTATTAACTCTGTAGACTGACAGTAGCTGCTAATTTTGATGAGTGGTCAAACTAATTTCATCCCTCAAGCTTCACAGTTCCCACAGTTCGCATAAAACAAAGGAATGTTTAGTGGCACTAAATGTGTTGACATTTCACCAGTTTTACTCTATTTTTAAAGGTTCCCACTAAATGACATATTAAACACAAGCAGGTTATTTATCAGGCAAACGGGCCAACTTCTGTTCTCCATTTTATCTCATTTTCAGAATAAGCACAATGAAGACGTCAAAACTGACACACTGAGCTATAATTAATAATAAAATAATCACGGCGGCATGCATGAATGACAGACTTGCAAACTCACCCTGACTGCAATCCACTCCTAGCACCTCATTAGACAAACTGAACTCACCTGGAGGCCCGTGTGTTCGCCAGTCTCTCGTTAGGTGAGACCGAGCTGGAGCGGAGCTGCGGTGACTCAAGAGTGGACTGTAGTTAGTTCTAACAAAGGCTCTGTGGTGTGTACTCACACTGAAAAGTACTCACTGCTTAAAAATATATAAATACACGGTGAGCTGCCAGACATCAGAGCAGCTTGAGATGATGAAACAAGGTAGAAGCGTCATCTTTCTATCCACCTAGAAATGGTTCAGTTTAGTTTCAGCTTCTTTCCAGGCCCACATTTAACAAGCTCAAATCTGTTATGTAGACTTCCCAGCCTTACAAGTTCAAACTGAGCAGAAAGGTGATCCAAGTGACTTTGAGCGTGGCATGGTTATAGGTCAGAGTGTTATAGAAACTGCTGACCTACTGGGATTTCCCACACAACCATCTCTAGCGTTTACATAGGCTGGTCTGAAAAGGAGAAAAATATCCAGTAAGCAGCAGTTCTCTAGGTGAACATGCCTTGCTGATGCCAGAGATCAGAGGACAATGGGCAGACTGCTTCATGCTGATGACAATAGTGACTCGGAAAACACTTATTATAACCAAGGTCTGCAGAGAAGCATCTTTAAATGCACAAAATCCGAACCTTGGGCTACAGAGGCACAAAGACCACTCTAGGTGCCACTCCTGTGAAGAAAGTGAAGTTACAACTTGAGTCTCAAATCCTCCTGCAACATTCAGATGGAACAACCTAGAAGTGTGGATTTGTCCTCCTTATATCGGCAGTTCTGCTGGTGGTGTAATGTGTGGGGATACTTTCTTGGCATACTTTGGACTCCTAAGTATCATGTGACCATGTCCATCCATCTATAACCACAGTATCTTAAATCATCACAAAGAGAGTGGTGAGGGAGGCAGAGCCTATTATGGGAGTGAGTTTCCTTTCTTCCGAAGATGTACGAGCACTGATGCACTGCCCAGCCAACGGTTCATCAAAGGCGCTCACAACCTTAACCGCAACCTGTTCCAGGCCTGTAAGAACTCACATGAGCTATTTTCCTGGACAAGTATGACTGTTTATTATTATTAATTGCCAGACGTATTTCTTATATTTTTGCATTTGCATATATCTAAATATGGTGTTCTTATTAATTGTGATCTGCTAAAACATTTTCACCACTTCTTACTTTTGAAAATCTGTGATGACAATAAAACCAGGTGAGAGTCTGAATCTGAGTGGGCTTCTCTGTGCGTATGTGTAAAAACTGGTAACGGGAATAGTAGCAGTAATAGCTGCTAAGATATGAGGTGTGATCAAACATCAAGCTCTGTTTCCAAATGACCTGAATTCTCTATAGAGGATCACAAATGGTGATGAAGCTGGTTCAGCAGCTACAAATAAGCAGTTTTCATTGAACCCGATGTTGTTGGGAGTTAGCGTGCTCTTGAAAAAGTGAGGAAAAACAGGATTTGATTTGGTTCCTTAGCAAGGTAGAACCATTCAGGTATCACTAGCAGTAGAGCATGATATATATATTCTTTTGCACTTAAACACATTCATGACTAGAGCCTGGTCAGTGCTCTGCATATAGCTTATTGAGTGAAACATAAATGAACAACAGTGACGTTACAGGATAAAAGTTTAAGTTTTACCTCTGTTTATATTCAGTGGCACCATCTTGCATTGTTAACTCGGGGTTGCTGTGGCTGCTTCGTCTTTCTGAGTGGGAAATCTGAGGTAGAGGGACTTTCCGCGTTTCACAATGGGAACTTGGAAATTCAGATTTTCCCAGGAACTCACTGTTAGTTAATTTGTGTTTCTGCATTTCCTGTTATCACACTTGCTGTTTTACTTTGAGAGTCAGTGTTCTTGGTGCTTTGCTTTTAGTTTTGCTTCCTTTGTCTTTTCTCCTGTGATTTAGTTCTCCTGTGTCTCCACTTCCCTAATCACCCTGTGTCTATCTATTGTGTCTGTATTAACTTGTCCTTTGTTGCATCCTCCCACGAAGTAATATCTTTTCCTTGTTCCACGTCTCCCCAAAATTCCTAGTTTTGATTGTTTTTTCAGCTCAGCTCATGCCTGTTTTTTTATGTTCTAATGAAGACGTTAATGCTTGCTGTCAAAGTGTAACAGGCGCAAGTATAACAGGACATCTAAAAAAAAAAAAAACCCATCTAAAAATAGCAGTGGAACTGAAAATGGTCCAGATTGTCAGACAAGTGAACTTGAAACTGACATGGGCAAAATTTAAATCAGGTATGGACTGCTCTCTCCAAAGTTTTTCTTGCACAACCCCCTGCTAGAATATGCTCCCACTGGGCATGTGCAGACTGATGGTGGTGAGACCACAGTTCATACACAAATCCAAGGTTCTTAGCATCCAGCAGCCTTCTGTCAATACACTCCTCTATGAGTGTTACATGCAATATAAATCACTGTCCGACCTGCTGCACTGCAACCCCTTGCTGCTTCTTTCTTCTGCTTCATATTCAGACCCATTGAATACTAACGCGGTTTCCTCGCTCAGCCATCATTTTGCTGAACGGCACATGAGAGAGAAAATGGAAGCCCTGCGATCGTGCGCAGTGTGTTTTTTAAGCATTGGCTCTGTCTCTGGCTTGTTTTCCTTAACCTGCCGCACATCAATCACAGCCGCCACAAATTAAAATTAAAAGACTTCAGAACTACCTGCTACAAGTGAGATCCTTCCCAGACGACATTGCACTCCTTATTTTTTCATACTAGCGTGGATCAAATAAAATTTTATCTAACCCAGCAGCATTATCTGCCAGTGCCGGAAGATAAATTTGACTGAAGAAAAAACAAAAAAAACAAAACATGAAATGAGCTCCCCAAGCCTGGATAGGAGATAACATCACCTGCCGAGCTTGCACTTTGCCTCAAACTTATTTTGTTCAACGTGAAGCTTCGATTAATGATTCTGGACGCTTGACAAAGACCAGGAAACATCTGCAGAGAGCACAAATGTTGTGTGCTACAATATTAAATCAGCGCTGCTCAGTCAACTTTCCCAGACCAAGGAAAGGTTTATTAAATCAACAAGGAAATGGTGTCGAGGCTGTGGAGCGTGGCTTTGTTTATTTACAGCGAGGAGAGCGCACAATCAGTCCGCCTCCCGCTGCAGTGCAGCCATTTCTTCCAAGGGAAACTTAAACGTTTCTCCAGCAGCCTCCAGCAGAGACTGACCTCTCTACCGGCTACATTACTGACTCACGGAATGGAGGAAAGGAGAAGCTGCGCCTTTCCACCAGTACGTTTGGAATGCAATATCAGACCGTAGGCTGCAGTGATCCCAGAGTTTTGTTTACACAGTTTCACACCTGAGATTTTTATCACCTCTGCAGCTCTGAAAGAGAATCAAGCTATTCATGAACATTTACTGGTTGCGATGGTTTTTACTATGTCGAATTTAAGACTACGAATTTAATGCCTTATTTGACCTAGTTTCCCTCTGAGAACTGAAACTGAAAAGAAGGACTTTGATCTAGATCATATCTTTTTAATATTGCTTTATTTTAAACCATATTTCTTTTAGTTGGATTGGATTTGCTGAGCATGAAAGAGCCCTTTGGTTTCCAAGTTGTTCTGTAAAGTCACACAGACTTAACTGCAAGTGGACCAGTTATGTTTTACATTATACCTCTGATTTTTTTTGCTTTTTATAATATCTTGATTGTCCTGATTGCCAGGACCTGGGTGAACAAAAAGAAAAAGAATAGAAAGATTTAAAAACCATCCAAAAAGTTAAAACCAAATCAGCAAATAAGCACTGAATCATAGTTAACGCTGTTTAGAAGTCTTTAAATAATGATTTAGCGGGCTTCAATCTGCAGTTTGTGACATAATTAGATAATTACCGGCTGAAATGTTGAAACAGTAGTAGTTATTTCCTTTTTTCAAAACGTCTCTGATTATTTTTCAAGCTGTTATTTTTGTAAAACGGCTAATGGCTACAGGAGGCTAATATGATACATTTATTAGCCTGCTAATTCAAAAACCAGAACTGCTAAGATAACAGTTGTAGTTTTTGCAGAAACAACTACACTGGTAGAAAACCTTAAAAAGCTGTTGAATGCAATGTGTACGTCTGCTATAAATATTTCTGATTTTAGGGAGCAAATGGAAAATGTAAATAAAGGTAAGAATGGAGCTAATGTTTTAATATATGACTATAAATACTGCTTAGAACAGCTTCAAAAATAGAAAATCTTGTTGCTTTTTGGCAGTTTGAGGTACGTACACTCTAAAGAGGAAACGAGACAACGTGATGCATCTGGCAGCTCAGGAAACAGACTCTGATGAGTTGATTTAATCCTAGAAATGAGTGGAGACTGCTGTCTGCAGACAGATAACCCTCTGTAACATTATCACCTTTATGTGGATAAAACAAGCAAGATAAAACATGTAATCGCTGAACTTTAGAGTCGATTGTTTTCTCCTGTCTCAAGTCTTAAAAGCTAATCTGTGACAACTCGCTGCATCTAAATCTCATCAGGAAAGCTAATAATCTGTTTTTAAGGTGGAGGCACATTAGAAAGACTGTTGACAATCTCATCCTTTTTCTGGGGACTGATTTCCTCAGGTACCGATGAGCATGACCGTTATTAGCTGGGTGTCACACTGACCTATGAGCTGTCTGGGCGGGCAGAGCGCTCCTCTGGTACAGGCCGTATGGATCGGTGCCGTACGCCAGCGGCTGGCTCTGCCTGGGGAGGGTGGAGCCGTAGTGCTGCGGCACCGCCGTCATTCCTGAGCGCAGCGGTGACCCCATTGAACCCCTCCCCTCGATCAAGGAAAGGAGGACCCCAGACGTCCTCCACTTCCTCCTCCTCCTCTTTCGCCTCCTCCTAGTCCAACTCCTCCTACAATTCCACCTGCACCACCCCCTCTACCCTGGGTGCTCTCAGTCGGGGAGGTCGGCGACGGGCAGGAGGGCGGCATGGTAGTGCCTGGGAAAACAGCGGCCAGCGGTTTGGGCTCAGACAGGATGGGCGAGTCATACGTGCTGCCTTGGATGTTCGCAGGAGATGCGGGAAGGTGAGACTGTGCCGGCGGTGCCGCAGCCAGGAGACTGGCTCCTGGAGGGGAGGGAGGCCATCCTCCGTAACACCCGCTGGAGGCCTGGGAAACCAAGAGGAGAAGAAATATTACAGTTTACCCTTCCAGAGAGTAGAGTGTGACATTTTATTCATCTGATAATGAGGCATGAATTTTTATTACACCTTCCTAAAGTGCCCTTTGCATCTCACAGGTCATTACGTTTGTGCAAAAACCATTAAATTGCCCTTATGTGCTGTTTAAAATGTGCATCATGTTCAGTGATGTGCTTGGAAGGGTGCAGAGAAACGAAACAATTAAAAAACACTGAAAATCCGTATCTTATTTTGGATAATTGAAATTAAATAAATATTCCAGTAGTCCTGCCTGCCTGCATCATTATTAAATGACATTTAATGGCATTTTATTCATTTCTAATTAACATTCACTTGATTCTTTGCTCCTCTGTGACTAAAAATGTCAAGTATAATACCCGTAACAGTGTTGACAATTAATCACTTCAGCATTTTGATTTCCTAAATAAATACCTGACAAATGAACATTAAATTCGCACACTGCGCCTCTCCCATTTGCAAATATACTCGCCAATTAGGAGTAATGCCACACTCTCAGACAGCGCACTTCATCACGTCTGATGAAGAGCATCGTTATCTTTTCCATTTGTCCAAGAAGCTGAACGTGCTTGCCTCTGGGAAAACGTCCTAATTCATTACACTTCAGACTGAGCGTCACTTTTTAGGGAAGACTTGACAGAATTTTCCCTGATTTATGGTGACAAACATTTCCCTTTTTCTTCTTCTCCTCATTTATGAAATATAGAATGTCTCCTAATTACAGACTCAGCCAACTGGATGCCGATCTGTGCCGCCTTAATCCATCGCAGCCTCGAACGCCTCGAAGGGAAATTAAGAGCGGAACATGTAAGCCCATCCAGTGAGCTGCTGGTTTGGAATAAATCAGGAGAAAATTCAAACAGGCTCACCATTATCTGTCATTCCTACTCCTACTTCATTCTAAGTGCGTATAATTATTAGCCACAAAGAAAGGAGCTGATAATGTTTGAGCCTGAGACATTTCAAGTAGAAGTGGTTTTGATTTGAAGGGTTTTAGCTGATGTTCTTCGTCGCTCATGACAGTAATTACCGAGCCTCAACCAGCTGTCATTACTTTAAGAAAGAATATTATTGCTTAGAGCAAAGACATACATATTTTTCGGGTGGCAACGCTCTGAAAACCAATCAAATGTGGGAAACCTGAATATGATTTCTCCTCATGAGGTTCAATTACCTGCGCTGGAGCTTTGATCGTGTTACTCGATGATTCGCTAGCAGCTGGAATTCACCGTGTTATCGCCAACTTAGCGACTTTATCGCTATATTTAGCGAGTTTTCAGACCCCCTTAGCGACTTTTTTTTTCTAAAAAGCGACTAGCGACAAATCTGGCGACTTTTTCTGGTATTACTGGAGACTTATTTATGACGACTTTTTGACGTGAAAACACGTATCGCTCTTACTCTCAACAGGCAGCGGTGCTGCCTTGGGCACCTTGCCTGTACCAAAGCGCTCACAGGCGGAGGATAGTCCTCCCCCACCTGCTATCAGGGCAGGAGACGTTCACACCTGTGCGTCCAAACGGCAAATGAATCGCGCATGAGCGAAGCCGCTGCTCCCGCACTGACTGTAACGCAGTCAGTTCTTTTATTGTTATGCTGTTTTGTGAATCACAAGGTTTAAAACTACTTATAAACACACACAAAGTAACGCCACCAGAGTGCCAGTTTCGAGTCACTTTTGCCGGTCCAAGCCCGGGTAAAGGAGCAGGGTTGGAATTGTGACATTAAAAAACAATAATTGCTAAAAGAAATTTAATTTGTAGTTCTAAATAAATTTAACTGCATTTAGGACGTTTTTTTACTCACTTTGTCTCTTCCACGATGTTATTTCTCTCTCCAACAACGCAGGTTACAATTACATTAGCATGACCAATTGTGCAAATTAGGCGATGACGTCATTTGGCGACTTCTAGCGACTTTTAGGACAGCCAATAGCGATTTTCCTTACTGAGGAGTTAGCAACACTGGTTGTCCTAATTTGCTTTAGTACCAACGTCCAGTGTACAACTATAGTTAATGTTGCCTTTAATGAGTTCCCTGTGCTGAGTTCATTGGTACGCTACTGCAGCGAGAGAAAATGTATCTCCTGCTTTGCATCTGCGATCTAACATAGATATTTTTGCACTTTTATAACTGTTGCTACATTTCTCTATGAGTGTAAAAATCATAGCTGTGACTATGCATACCGATTCATGGGTGTGGTTGAAAGTAGCTCGTTAATTAAATGTGTCACATAGCCTGTAAAGGTGGCACATACATTTTGTAATCATACAGGACTGACTCTGGTAGTACCCTTTATGAACTGGCAAAGCACTAACATTTATGTTCTCCACAGTAAGGGATGGATCTAAAATATTGGTTTAAGACATTTTTACACATTTGTATTTGTGGTTTTCACCTTTGTGCTCTTAATCTTACTAAATGTGGCTGAAAAGCTAAGTGGACACAGAGGTAAAATCTTACCCTGAGCTTTTCTTTCTAAGGTTAGTGACTTGTGATGTAACCCTTTGGAGATCAGGCCTACCTGCCCAGAAGCTTGACCCTCTGCTCTTGGGCTTCTGGATATTGATGCTCGGGGCTCCGAACGCACTACGTTCTGGTTGCTGTAGTAACTGACGCTGCTGTCCTGGTAGCCGCTGTCAGAATACGAGGTCATCTGGACCGAGTGACCTCCTGAGCCTGGAAGGAAAGCACAATAAGAGGCCTCAGTGCTTCTTGTGACACATTAAAGCAGGACGTGGTGTGATCAAACCACAGCCACCCCGACATCAGTCACTGCGGTTTACTGCGATTTGCATAGTATCTCACTCGGCTTTCAACTTGTTAAAAAAATATTATGCGTATAAATACATACACGCGGACATCTGCATTAAGCCGTTCCTGGAACAATCTGCTGGCCTACTTTCTCCTGTAGCACCAGGAGGAGGAAGCGTGGGTGATATTTTTACACTTCCAGTGCACTCCAGCTGTATGCAATATAAATAAGACCAAAGGCAAGTTTTGTTTTAAACATTACAAATCGCTACTCAGATGTTACATATTTACTAATGGTACCGATAATAAATGTGGAGGGAGAAGGAGGCCGAGTCTTTTTCTGCGTCGTGCTTTAAAAACATGAATAAAACCAGCAAGTGTTCTGCACATATAAGAATTCACAGCTGCACCCACTGCTTCGCTTTGCTGGCCGTCCAACTTTTTTGTGGTTTAACACAAGCTTCTGAGGTAGCTTGATGGACCAAAGTGTCAAACACTCCAGTGAAGATGCCTAATGTCCAACCGCTGTTGGACATTAGGCAGGCTGTGGCTGTAATGCAAAGCTCCCACGAGTGAATACGTGGGAAACATTTCCGCCAAACATGGCAGACTATAAAAAATAAAACTCAGACAGCAGAGCGGAGGCGGATATCAGGTTCTGGGTATTTTAGACTCATCTGAAACAGTGTGGGGCCTTTGGCATCTCTTAAATGTGATCAGATTGTCCAGTGTGGGTTCAGAATTGTGGACTTATATTCACTGGTTGGTAAAATGCTGCTGTGAAGCCTCGGGCTGAGCTTTGGCTCCCTCAGCATCTGGTGTTTAGACTTGATGAGAGAGGGGTGGATCTGACTGTGAAGCTGAAGGATGCTACATGCTTGTATGGTAGACATTCCTTAAAACTTAGTACTGTAAAAAAGCCTTGAGCCACCCCTCATTTCTTGTCATTTCTTCAAGTAGTCTTCAGGAATATTTCTCCAGGCTTCTTGAAGGATATCCAAAGCTCTTCTTTGGATGTTTTGTTCTGTTCTCTGTCCACATGATCCCACACTGCTTCAATAATGTTGAGGTCCAGGCTCTGGGAGGCCAATCCATGACTGATAGTGTTGCATTTTGTGTTACTGCATTGGCAGTGTGTTTGGGCTCATCAACATCCAAAAATAAAGATGGTACCCATCAGATCCTTTTCAGATGATATTGCATGCTGGATGAAATCCCGTTGTTTTGCAGCCACAGGAAAGTGTATCCCGCAGTGACAGAGCAGACCATGAACTCCTTTGTATACCAAAGTATTCTAGAGGCCATCTGTCCAACAGCTAAAGCTTGGCTTAAACTGGGTCGTGCAACAGCACAATCACCCCAAACATATCAGGAAATCTACAACAGAATGATTGAAAGAGAAAAGAACGAAGGTGTTGCGATGACCGAATTTGGACAAAAATTCCCACAAGAATATGAGAGATATATTCAAGTTACTGCTGCTAAAGGTGGTTCGATAAGCTATTGAATCAAGGGGTGATGTTGTTAATATAAATCATTTTAGGACCAGAAGATTTTGCTTTGTCCCAGTATGTAAGATTACAAGAGGGTGTACTTATTTTGCTGCATGGCTGCAGAGTAAACTAAAAATGCTGGTGTTTTCCAGAATCTGCACTCAACATCATGAACTTTAGTCCCTTCCTAAAGCATCGTTTAAACCGTGTGCTGAGTATATTTAACAGACCCTCACTGCCATGTAGGGATGCTCGGTCCGGCTCCGGCAGGAAGAGTCCCTCTCTGCTTCCAGGTGACGACCAGGACATCCAGACCCCTGTGGCTCCGCCCTGAGACTCTCCGCCTGTTGTACGATTAAAAACATGCAAAGACTCTAGCATTAATGCACGTACTTCACACACATAGATTCACACGCATTGAAAAACACAGGTATGGCAAATCAACAGCATCATCTCTGCATCAGTTCTTTTTATACCACTTCTTTTATTTCAGGGGAAAGATGACAGTGAAGAATGGGATGGAAATCTGAGGAAAGGGATCTGTGACAGAATAGTAAATGGACCCAATTCAAAGCTTTTATACATACAGTATATATACTGGCAGAAACATTGCTTTGCTTTGCTTGACCGGCTGGTGCTGCATTCTGGCAATGTTCAGCCTTTTGGAGGCTATTATAGCTTTCTCATGTTAAAAAACAAAGTTCTTTCAGCGGCCTAATCATATACACTTCATCCTATCTGAAACTACAGCATTTACCATTTAAATGAAAGTACCGCAGGCATGGAATAAAACTCCACTGAGCATCACTGAAGCTTTTTGCCTTCATGTAGCCTTCATGCCAACACTTTATATTACCATTTTGTATCTTTTATTTATTACATAATGTTAAATGTTAAACAAAAGAAGTCATACCTGCGGATCTCCATGCAAACGACTTCTCGGATGAGCTTCGGCAGCAGAGCAGATGAGGAAATGGAGGAGGCGAGAGAGCAGAGAGAGAGGTAAATCAAATTAGAGTCACTGTCTACGTCCGATCAGACCAGGAAGAAGAAGGAAGACGGTAGAGAAGATATAAGAAGATAAACTGGATAGGGAACCATCTCGTGAAAAAAAAAAGCATCCAATACACAAGAACAATGAAGAAAGTAACGCTGTGTGAGTTCAAGTCACTTTTTACACAGACTGACTGAAGTCTGAGGAAACACCTGCAGCTGAAAACAAATCATTTATACTGAAATGAACACCGAAAACCCCCATACAAATACAACTACCTCTAAGAATATGACCAAAGTCAAAGCTCTGTTTAGGTCACTAGATATTGTAATGCTTATTGTCTATGATTTGTGGACCAATGTTACAACTTGAAGCATCTTTTAAGGGTCAAAATTACAGACATCATGCATAAAGTGTCAAGTTTTCTTTAATATTTCAGCAGTTTTGTGGATTTCAAGGTTTCTGTTTGTGCTCAGAGTGATGTATGCTGGCTGTGACACCACAAAGTGACTGTCAGCTGGCTGAACATCACTCCTCATGAAGACAGATTTCACCATTATGTGGTTTGACAGAGCTTTCTGGAGCTGGGTGTGATTTACAGCCAGCTGGAATCCATATAACAACAACAACAAATATAGGTGCATTATTAGGGCTGTTTTGCTAGAGATACGAAAATTAAATGAAAAAAAAAATACTTTCAAGGGGCCAGAGTTCCTTGTAAGTATGCAATAATTCTAGACTTACTAAAGTTCTTTCACACTGTTTCTTTGGACATTGGCTGCTTTTACACTCATTTTCAGTCCAGTCCTAATACCTGAGCCTTTTTTGTTTGTTTGTATATTGCACAAAATCACATCATTTGTTTTGTTTTCTTTATTTGAATCTATGAAGAATGCCAAAGATAACAAAGCTGAGAGAAATAAAATAGAAACCAATAGAAAAAAGGTGATTCACAAAAAGCTATTACCTGAAAACTTGCATATCTCAGCGTGCTCTGCAGTTTGTCCTTTAGGGAACTGGACAAGTGGAGGGCAAAAGAAGTGTTTCTTTTCTAACAAAAGATCGAGAAATGAGGGTGGCTCAGGACTTTTTTCACAGTACTGCACTGTATTTATTAATGCTAACATCCTTCTTCTTCTTACCCATTTATACATGCTTACACTGAAGAAACTAGGATCCAACAAAAAATATGTCCTTGCATGTCCTTGAGTAACATCCAAAGAAAAACTCAAGGATACACTGCACATAGATGTACCACGTTTGTCAGTTAATGGGTCTTTGGTAATAATTTTCTTGGCACACAAATACTAAAATAATTTGAATGAAAATGGTCAGATACAAGTAAGGGCTGAATAGGGTGAAAAAGCAGCCAATGTCGAAAGGAAAACTCAAACGATAAGAGGTGGTCATGTGTATTTTTGTCATGAGATACTGTGTGTTTTTAATTGCAAAAATCTTCCAAATACTTGATGTGATCACTTTAGTCAAATCTACCTGCTGCTGTCTCCTTCTGGTGACTCGGCTCCCAGCATGCACCTCTCCAGCTGGCTAGCCACGATCTGCCGCTCCTCCTCCAGCTCCCGAGTCAGCCGCTCGAACTGGAGCTCCTGGGGCAAGACATTAACAGCAGTGATTATAACCCAACATCCACCATGACGCGGTGATTTAAGCCTCTTCTTTAAGACCTATTTGGTGCCAGTTAGAATTAAGTGTAAAACCCATTTTGTATTCAGCCTGCGCGGCTTGACTGATTTCTCACCGTCTGTGAGCTCGCTGAGAGGCTGTTAAAGGGGGATTCAAGATTTTAAACACTAAGAGTGTGTCCGGCACCTTTTAACAGCATTTGGTTCAGATAATGTAATTACACACATTTTTGAAACTTTTGGTACAAAGCACAGAGGTTTAAGCACAGAATGATAAAATGTAGACTTCATGGTAAAAATTCACCACAGAGGGTGAAACCAATGTTTCCTTTTTCTTTTATCATGAGTATTCTGGGCACAGCCTTTAATTCCACATTACTAATAGATACAGTGACACAGCACTATATCTGTAAATCTGGGGGTTTAAGCCCTTAGAGTGAATTGCTCAAGGTGGTGGCTGACCTTTCTTATTGTTCATTCCACTTATTGTTGTGATAAACAGAATAGTGTGTGAAATCTATTGAGCTGTAAATGCAGTTTACTTTCGAAGAAGATGAAGAAAACCAGAAATTATTCACAATTTAGTAGCTGGAAACAAACTTAAACTTTAAAAATTAGCCTGCAAGCATTTTGCAAAGTCCTCACTGACATAATATACATAATATTGTAAAGGATTTTGAAAGAATTTCACAGGTGCGCGCAATTGAGAGTGTTTGATTGCCAAATTTAAATCAGTTCACCCAAGTCTGAGCAAACATTCGTGTCGTATTTTATGCCAAAGTCGCGGAGGCCTGGAGACAAATTGTCAACTCCCCGCCTCCACAAAAATAAAATAGATTTTCACTCCCAGTAAACGTAAAGCAATAATTTTGAGTAAACTGCAACTGAAATATGTAAAAATTTAAAGGTTAATTCATTCAAATACTTATGCTTGGCATAAACTGGATGCAAACCCATCAGGTGGATTTCATTTGACCAGATTTCATTACATTTAACATTTTATACCGTTTCATGGAAAGTTAATTAAGTGATTTAAAGTCAACATTCTGGGCAGAAACTATCTTTTTGATTGTGGCAAACACTGTTTGCAAAGGAAAACTGTGTATTTCCCAACAGGTTGGAGCGTGGTTGCTGGAGGTGGGGTCCCGAGCCAGTCTACTCCTAGTGTCCTAATGTGCTCCTAAAATCTTTGCCAAATCAAACACTGGGATTATCAAGAACAGGGGTGATTTGTGACAGATGTAAAGAAACAAAAGTGAAAGGGAAAGTTTACCAGATGCTAGTGAGAGCTGGTATGTTTTATGGTTTGTAGACAGTGGAAGTGCAGAACTGACAGGATTAGAAATGACTTAATCAGAGGTCGAGCTGAGGTCGAGCAGTCTGGAGACAAAGTTAGAGGGACAAGGCTGAGATACTTTGCACGTGTGCAGAGGAGGGAAAGTGGATATATTGGATAAAGGATGTTGAAGACAGAGCTGCCAGGCAGGAGGAAAAGAGGAGACTGATGGATGTGAAGAAGACATGCAGAGGGTTGGTGTGACAGAGGAGGATGGTAGGGACAGGGGGAGATGGAGGCAGATGATTTGCTGTGCAGACTCCTAAAAGGAGCGAGAAGAAGAAAAAGAAGAAATCTGCACTGTAAACCTAATGGTTAAACATGCTGTTGCATAACGAATTTCGGTGTTTTGCACCTTTAATATTCATTATGATGTACAACAAAAGTACAGATGACAGTCACTGTTACAAAACTACAACAATTTAAAGTATTTAGTAAAGTGTAATGTGTATAAAATACCTTAGAAGGAAGCACAGAAAGCAACTTTTTCTTTTACCGGTTTGAGCTTCACAAAATGAGTGTCATTTAATTCAATTATATTTCACAGAAGACAGACATTTCTACAGCTAATATCTACCAAACTAGGCAAATCTCATCAAAACAGTCTAGATAGTTAAACATCATTAAAATATGAAAACTGGATTTTCCAGCCTCGCTCCTCAGGCTGCACCACCTGCTAAACAGGGATGAATAATCATGTGTATGTAGGTTAATGGGGCTACATGCGGCCACATGTCCTCTAGTTCCCTAAAAACCATCCAGTTTGTGACTATGGAGCAGTAAAATAACTCTTTTAACTAAAATTAGGGATTGCATGATTGCAAATGAAATAAACAGAAACTGATGGTGAGTTCAAAATGTCACAAGATTTGTCAGCAATCGTGTTTTGGAGAATTTGACTACTGAAACACCAAAGCATTAAATATACCCTGTCTGCCATCCCCAATAGATGGTTGGGTTCCAATACCTGCTCAAGTTATGAAATGGAGCAATGTTAGGACTTTGACTGAATGCAGGTATGTGGCACTAGCTTATTGTATTCTGTAAATAATACAGAAGCTTCCCAGTTGCTCCATAATCATCCAGAACCACAGCTGGTCATCACGGAGGTCCACTGAGAATAGCTGTCTGCAAATAATGTCTAAATAAAACTGGCTGCTGAAAAATACACCTTCACAGGGAAACGTCACTGGATTCATCCATCATTCGCTTCCGCTTATCCTTTTCAGGGTCGTGGCAGTGTTGGCAAGTTACTTTAACTAATACTGATTACTTCCCCAAAAGTATCCCGTTACTTACTGATTACTATTTTCAAAAGTATTAATACTTAGTTACTTAGTACTTTTTAAAAACACGATTTACAACCTGAATAGGAAAAGCGATAGATTTCAGCCCAATTCACTTTTCTGCCACCATCATACAAAATGTAATCAAATGAAAAGTCTTTTTAAAACTTGTTTATTATTAATCTTTAACTTTATGCATCAAGCAAACATTTAATTATATGCAACATTCTCTGACTGGAAGAAATTTGTTTTAAACCTATTTAAACCTATTTTCTGCACATTCCAGCACATAAAATATATATTTTTTTGTGTTTACACTCACTCTTTCAAATAGATGCAAGTAAAACACAGCAGAAAATAAATAAAGTCAAAGACTCAGCGGTCCTGTTGCTCTATTTTCACCTGTAAAGCAGGAGTTGGGTTAGCGGAGGTTTACCCTGGTGCATGTGTTACGCAGCGGTCAGTGAAAGAATCCGCGAGTTTCTCTGTGAATTTCCCATTACGTCGTAGCTACTCGGTGTTTGCTTGGAAGTTTAGGGGTTTTTTGCTGTAAAAAAAGTTTTTTCCCACGCACAATGCTAATGGACGCTAATGTTTTTGTCACTTTTGGAATCAAACTTAAAGTAAGGTCAGTACTTCCACACTTTAAACGCTGCACGCTCATACTCTCTCCCGCAGGCGATCCATTGTTGATCTGCACACAGCTCTTGTCATGAACATCGCACTTGCTTACGTCACTGTCATGAGACATTCTCGCAAAAAAATCACGGTTTTAGTAATGCAGTAACGCAGCGTTCCTATGGGAAAGTAACGGTAATCTAATTACCGTTTTTGCAATAGTAATCCCTTACTTTACTCGTTACTTGAAAAAAGTAATCGGATTACAGTCACTGGTCGTGGGGGGCGCTGGAACCTATCCCAGCTGTCATAGGGCGAAAGGTGGGGTACACCCTGGACAGGTCGTCAGTCTGTCGCAGGGCTAACACACAGAGACAGACAACCATTCGCACTCACATTCACTCCTAGTGGCAACTTTGGATTATCCAATTAACCTATCCCCACAAGCTGCATGTCTTACCTCTCTCCTCCTCCTCTTACCTCATGTTATGTATTTTCGTTGTTTTTTTCCTATCAGCCTACCTTTCTGACGTGTCTCCCCAATGTGATGTTTGTGTTAAGTTGGTCAGAAGGTTCCTTTGTAAGTGCACATGCGCAATTAGCGTGCTGCCTGCTGTAACCCTAATTTCCTTCGGGATTAATAAAGTATTCTGATTCTGATTCTGATGTCTTTGGACAGTGGGAGGAAGCCGGAGTACCCGGAGAGAACCCACGCAAACACGGGGAGAACATGCAAACTCCACACAGAAAGACCCCGGCCTGATGTTGGAATTGAACTCAATTGCAGCAACAGTGCTAACCACCGTGCCACCGTGCTGCCCCTGTGATTCAGGACTTCATTAATCCAATAAATTTTCAGAGGCACCAAAAGAGCTGATAGCTGCAGCTCATTATGACACCTGTGGTTTGGGTAAAAAAACCTCACTGTATCTCATTCAAATGCTTTACTCAGGTAAAGGACCTCAGCATGCCTGTAAGTAAAGTAAAAGTACTCATTATCTTCTGGATAAATCAAATTTTATTGAATTTTTAAGAAGTTTCGTTACAGTGGCATGTTTGTTTTCTAAGGCTACGTTCACACTGCAGGTCTTAATGCTCAATTCCGATTTTTTGATCAAATCCAATTTTTTTGTCTGCTTATTCACACTACAAATAAAATGCGACAGCAAACGCGCTCTAGTGTGAACGCTCAAAGCGGCCCGCATGCGCAGAACAAGACGTCACACACAACGCGCTCTGTATAGACCCAGAGCAAACAGTATTGTTTGACTGAGGCCCTTAATATAAAGACTTCAGACTTGACGTTTCCCAATTTTTGCTTTAAGTTATTTTGTTATTTACATAATAATGTAGATAACCTAATAATTATCCTTATTGCTGTTTTAGAGGAGCGGTGCTTCAAAGGATAGCTGCAGAATCTGCAGGTTATACAGTACAAATAAAATGTTCACGTTTCTCCAACGTTGTCTTCCCAGCAATTTCACTGGATGGCCAGGAAGCGTTCACGATGTCTTCTCCGGCACTGATAATTGGCGTCTGTCTTGTGTCAGTGACGTAAAAGACGGATTTAATGCGACATGACCGTTCAAACAGCAGTCGCTTTCTAAAACATCAGACATGTATCGGATTCAGTACCATATACGAAAGTGACCCAGGTCGGATTTGAAAATATCGGATTTGTGCTGTTCACACTGTCATAGCATGATCGGATATGGGTCGCATAG